ACCCTGCGAGCAGAGGCTACATTTTCGCAGTATGAGCTGGCGTGCGAAAAGTACTAATTTTATTCATGAATTAGGGCTAGGAAATAAATAAAACTGAGAATTGACCTAGGTTAAAAAAGCTTAAAAACTTTTGTCTTGCATTTAATTTCGACCTGTAACATATAACAAAATGCAAATTAACTATCAGCAGACAAAATAGTTTTAAGTGTCAGGAGTGCACTTATACAGGAGTCAATAAAGTATATTAATATTGGAGCGGCCAGAAACGTCAGTGGTGGATCCAGGGGACGGGCGCGGGGGACCCGTCCCCCCCTTACTTTTAGAACCAAACTGAGGCCCAAAGGGCGGAAAAAATGTTTTTTGGAGACCGCCCCCCTCAGCCCCCCCTTCTATCTCAAGGTCTTGATCCACCACTGAACACTGAGTTTGTTACACATGTAATTTAAGTTAGAGTAGACTGATGGAACTGGATTTAGTCTTGAACATTTATTGCTACTCAGTGTTTCATGCCTCTTTTTCAGCAATCATCATGCAATTTTTAAATTGCCTGATGGTGCGGAACTTAAAAGTTCCGCATTTTCTCAGGGCTACAAGGTCTGGTTTTACATGCCACAGTCAGGTTGCATAAGAGGCTTCTTGCCTGAAGTTAAATTAATTTGAAGCTGTTGCTTTACACTCTGCAGTCACTCTCTTTATGTTGCTTGTCGCTTTTAATACACATAATAAGGTGCTTCCAAGACATTGTGGCTATGCGTTGAAACGTAAATTAACTGTGGGATTTGAGCGACATCCCAGTGGGGGAACTCATTTTAGGGTAAAAAATGTTTTAATAATTTTTTTTGGGTGACTTATGGTTCATCGATGATTCGGTTCTGTAGCCTGAATATTCCAGATAATGATCATTAGAGAAGCTGTTTTTCAGTGGCTCTGGCACAATCTCATTGCCAACAGCCACTAGACATGTACATAGTTATGAAACTTTAAAAGAAACGTTTGAAAACTGTTTTCTATTTTTTAAAGAAAAGTTTTGCTTTAAATTGTTATTAATGTAATTCAAATTATCTTGACAGCTAAACTTTCTAATGCTCAGTTACACTGTATAAATAATTGATGTTTTATTTTTATTATTATTGTTATTATTATAATTAATGATATGACTTAATCTTTTTAAGTACTATGAAAGTTTATAATGAGGTCATGTCTATGCACTGGGTGTAACACCGCTCTCTACTTTGAAGCTCCTTCTCGGCATTTTCTTTGGGGCAAATTATTTTTGTAATAGAACTCGCTTGTTTGTCCACATTGCTATCCTAATCCTAGTCAAGTGGTCTTCAATTTACTGCACTTTTCACAAACTTGCGAATTGTGAAGTTCAAAAGCCAACTGACGATTGCATTTTTTGCTGCTGTCAATCAACTTAATGGACCTCTTAGGAAACAAAACTTTACTTTAACGGGTTGAAAAGGTCATGGTTTGTGATTGGTGGATTTCGATCCGTTTTGTGTGTTTTTGTGTTTCAAGGTTCCTTGCTTGTGATCGTAATTATGATTGACGGCAGCAAAAAAACGCAATTGTGAAGGTGGCTTTTGAACTTAAGAATTTGCATGTTTGTGAAAAGCGCAGTAAGCTTTAACAGTCATAAACAACTTGGACATCTAACTTGTGCAAAGGGGAAGAGACCTTTTGAACCATAACCATACCCATGATGACAGCCACACAGGTTGAAGCAAAATGTAAAAGAAAAACACATTTTAAAGTGTCAACTGAAAAATTGACTTGAAAATTCCAATGCCAGTTGAGGAGATAAGACAGGAACCAAGGCATGACCACTTGGTGTAACACTTTTTTAATCAAACAGTCAAGAGAATCACTATTAGTCAAGTAACAGGAACAGTATGGCAGATGCCAGGCTATGGCATGCTGATAGGTAATACATGTATATGTAGCTTCTACACATGCCCAAACTTTGGGAGCTGATAATTTATCATCAGGAATAGAATGCAGCATTAGGCAGCATTATGGGAAGTTTTGTTTCTTTTTGGCCAGACAGTAACCAGAAAACAGCTTGACTAGCCTCAAAGTGGGATTTTCAGCAAAAGTTCTGGGAAAAAATAAGTTTAAGTGGTTTATTGATGGGCCATTACCAGAACTTGGTCATGATGTTTGGATACCACTTAGCAATGGCTCACTGGATGGCAAGCCATCCAAGCGTTCATTCCAATCACAAAGCTTTGAATGTGTTTGAGCAAAGAGTTTCTCTATTCTGCTCTGTTGAAAATTAACCAAAATGACTGGACTAGCAGACTTAAAAGATATTTGAATTAACATAAGAAGGCTTCGCCCAATCGCACTCATAGCTTTGTGATCTGAAATGCTTAGATGGCTGGCCGTTAAGTGAGCCATTGCTAAGTGGTATCCAATCACGTGACCAAGTTCTGCATAGGGTTAATTATCTACTTAAAATTATATTGCAAGTTTCTTGAAACCTTGCTCAAATACAATAAGGGTAGTGGCTAAACATGTACAATAAATGAAGAAAATAGGGAACCTATATGTACCCATGTAACAAATGCAGATGAAACTGTGACAAAGAACTGAAAAAATAGATGTAATTAATGCCATAATGTAATTAAAGTTAAAGGATTTGTCTTTAATAAAGAATTGACGAGAAGGTGCTACCTTTGTTAAATGTCTGCAAATGGTTAGACCTTGTTGGATATTAAGGACAAGATAAACAGTAGGCCAGGCTGTCTCACAGTGCTTTTACTGATCTGATTCTGTGGGTCGCAAAAGAACATTCAGTCACTGATCATTTAGCAAATGGCATCATCTACATCAGCACTTTTCTTAGAGCCAAACTCATTTGTGTTCTGCCACGTTAATGCAGTTAAACTGTTCTAAATCATTGTTTTCTTTTTATAATAATTAACTTAGTGTATTTGTAGTGAAACATGTACATGTAGTTATATTGAAAGAACCTAGGTACCTACATTACATGTTTGTTAGGTTCTTGGTTATAACAGATGATGATAAATATAGAATTCTCCATTTTTTGTTTATGGTAGTAATGAGGGTTACCGAAAATGCTTCAATTACCTTAAATGTTTTCTTTTTGTATAATTTCATTTTGCTAGTTGTGTTTTACATCTCAAACTCAAACAGAAATTATAATAATAATAACAACAACAACAACAGCAATGATAATAATGATGATAATAATCCTAATAATTTTTAAATATGCATGACATCTTGTTGTTAAACTAGAGCGCAATTTGTAAAAGAAAACTGGTGTTGCATTGCGGACATGACGAAAAGTTTATTGATAGTGGTCTTCTTTTTACTTTCTCTTTACAGGGAAAGATACCATGGCAAAGCAGTCTGATCACATAGTTGCACTCACTGACATCGCCAGTGGTAATGAAATCGGCAAAAATGAACTAATTTCAGTGAAATGTGAAGAGGATCCGCTTGAGAGTGCCGAAGCCACTGAAAAGTCAAAAGGTTGTAGTGATGAAAGAATCGAAACCGTGGGCAGTGATATACCGGAAGGATCATCTAAGGTGGATCAGGCAAGAAAAGAAAGTAAACCGTCATGCAGTGAAAATTCTTTCGCGTGCAAGGTCTGTGGCAAGACTTTTCGGAGACTGTCTAAATTGAAGGCCCACAAAGTTTCACATAGAGATGACAGACCTTTCCAATGTGTTAAATGTGGTAAGAGTTTCAAGTGTTCAACCAAATTGACGAGGCATGTCGGAACCGTTCACTCCAATAAAAGGCCTTTCAAGTGTGACGAATGTGGTAAGGGATTCAAAACTATGGAGGACATGAAGTCTCATGGCCTTGTGCACAAGAAAGAGAGGCCGTGGAAATGCACTGACTGTGGAAAGTCATTCAAGAAAGCTGAAATTCTGAAGACCCACGAGAAAACACACACAGTGCGAGAGAGACTTTATAAATGTAACCAGTGCGAGAAAAGTTATACGACAGCATCCAGCCTGAAGTATCACATGGTAACACACAACGAGGAAAAATCATTCACTTGCAGATTTTGTGGCAAAACTTTTCACTTCCTTCGTAATTTGAAATTACATGAGAGAACACACTCGGGGCGGGAAACACCTTTTAAATGCCTATTATGCGCAAAATCGTTCAAGACCTCAGAAGAACTGAAGAAACACAAGCTTTCTCACTCCGGCGAAAGTAATCTTAAATGTAATATTTGTGAAAAGACTTTCAATTTTCCCGCGGAAAAAGTGGCGCATCTCAGAAAAGAACACAATGATGATAGGCCTTGGAAGTGTCACGTGTGTGACGCATCCTTTAAAACCTCTGGTCACCTCAAGGAACATGGTAATGTACACAGAACTGACAGACCTTTTAAATGTGACCAGTGCGACAAGTGCTACAAGGGAATTTACGAGTTAAAAGTTCACAAGATGGTTCACACTGGTGAGAAGCCGTACAAGTGCAGTCAGTGCGACATGGCTTTTGCGACATCTTCTCAACTTTGTGCGCACAGACGGTGGCGCCATGCTGATGAGAAACCCTACAAATGTCCATTTTGTGAGAAAAGTTTCAAGACAACAAGTGCTGTCGCTAAGCACGCAGCTGTTCACAAAAAAGACAGACCCTTCCAATGCAGTATCTGTGAAAAGTTCTACAAGTCATTAGACGTTCTTAGATTTCATCGGCAACGGGTGCACAGTGACGAGAAACCTTTTGAGTGCCAACTGTGCGAAAAGTCTTTCAAGACAGCACAAGAGTTAAAGATGCATGGAAGGGCGCATAGCGATCACAGACCTTTCAAGTGCTGTTTGTGCGAGACTTCGTTTAAGGATAATAACAAACTCCAGCGTCATCTCAGCACGGTACATACCGATGAAAGGCCATTCCAATGTACACAGTGTGAACGAGCGTTCAAGGCTGCAGGAGAATTGAAGAGGCACATCCTGACTGTACACAATATGGAAAAACCCTTTAAATGTTCAGAATGTGATGCAGCTTTTTCTTCAGAAGGTAATCTTCGTCAACATTCCATGGTGCATTCAGATCACAGACCTTTCAAGTGTTCTTTGTGCGAGAAGGCCTTTAAATCATCGCGTTACTTACGATTACACGGCAGAGTTCACACTAGCGTCAGGTCTTTCAAATGTTCTCATTGTGATAAGACGTTCAAGGCTAAAAACGATCTGGCAAGACACAATACAGAAACGCACAGCGGTGAAAGACCCTTTAAGTGCAGCCACTGTGAAATGACTTTTGTTAGGTTAATACGTCTTGAAAATCACGAGAGGACACATAAGAATCTACGGTATAAATGTTCACAGTGCAAGCAATCATTCAGCAATCCCACAGACTTGAAAGGACACAGCCGAATCCATGCGGGGGAGAAACCATTTGAGTGTTGGCTTTGTGGGAAAGTCCTGATCTCACACACGCTATTGCGCCACCATACTCAAACTTGTGTCAATCAGCTTTTAGATTGAAACCCAAACAGTAACGTGAAGGGCGTGGCAGTAAGGCAAATGATAATTTTCAGGCTAATAAGTCCGATTTTTTTTCTGATGACATCTTAGTTAAAACCCTTTTACTTCCATCAAAGTTAATTTTATGTTGTAAAATGCTGAAAAAAACTAATTGCACCATTTGAAAGAACTGGTGAAGAGGATTTTATTTGATTATTTACATCGCAAGATCAAAGTGTGGAGCCACATTCAAAAGTGGAAATCAGTCACTCTGATATTATTTGTGTGCTGTGCTATTCTCCATCATTCCCTCTGAGGTGAAAAGATTGATTCGCCACTTAAGAAACGAGAAGGAAACTGGAACCGAAATGCCGTTCCGCAATTGTTTGTGGGATCGTTACTGGGGGAGCGCCTGTCAGCTATATTAGGGTACTTACGAAACTACGACGACGACGGCAACGGCCACGTCAAAATCCAATAGGTTTAGTTAGCAAAACAACTCTCCACGGGCATCACGCTTTTTTGTACATTTCTTTGCCGTCCCGCTGCACAACTACGACGTGAAATAACCAAATTTTAAGTTTTTTTGAGGAGGGGAACGCAAGGCGATAAATTCTACCATCTCTGTCTGAACTCGGGGGCGGTCCCCTCTTTTCAGCTCCAACATAAATTGCCTTCGTTTTAGTAACTGGGATCTGGGATAATCGCGAAATGGTTTGATAGGATGCGGAGTTTATTTTTCAGCGACGTTTTCATGGACGTCGCCGTTGTCGGATCGTATGGTGGCGGGCACAAACGTGCTTCGCACCATACAAACATCTGTAAATTTTGGCAACTTTGCTCGTATCACTTCCGGAGCCCATCACCCAGGCTCCTGATCACTTTCAAGTTTGACAATTTATTAATACATGTATCAGATTAAGGCGCTGTTTTCAGTGATGTCGACGAATTTTCCGGAACTTGTCCATGTGAGAAGTTGAAAACACCGTGAAAGAGTCTATTACTAAAAAAGGAAAGCAGGATATCTGATGACTTGCTACAAGGTGACGTGCTTATCCAATCAGATCTCGGAAAGTTTAATCGATGGTTCACAACTACGTAGACCTTAAATAAATCCAAATCTAATGGAAAAGAAAACGAATCATGAAATACTGAAAAAATTGGTACTTTATGAAACTGGTTTTAGATATTTAAATCGTCCAAAGTAAAATTAATAGATTCAAAAGAACTGAAGGAAACTGATTTGTAGACATGTAGATTAAGCCCCACCCCACGATATGTTTTTCGTGCTGGCGCAAGAGTTATCTGCTATAGTGAAGACATCCTTAATTTTCAATCTTATGCTACGTGAAAACGGACGCAACATTGTTGGTCAACAACTCCCAACATTGATGTTACATGCTGCGTCCGTTTCCACAGCCTGTTGCATGTTGTGGGAGTTGCTGCGCGCAGTTTGAAACCAGTCAAAATGTTAGCAATGTGCAAACGGACGCAACAAGTCCATGTTGGGAGTTGTTAGCCAACAATGTTGCGTCCGTTTGCACGGGGCTTTAATCATTTCGGCATACTTTCTAGAATAGTTTTAGCTTGTGACATAATTTGATCTTTTCGGATTCAATTCTCTTGTAATAAATTATTATTTGAACTTTCTGTATTCGTCGTTGTTGTTCGAGGTTCTAATTCAGGGCTCTTTTCTCGAAATTCCTTGTGTTGTGTTAACGGGTGGTTTTGCTGAATAACTTTCAGAACCATAAAAACTCTAACTCGAAGCGAGCGTGTCTAGCTCTACCATAGTTCATTTCATATATACTGTATATCATACAGCTATTTCAAAAAACGTCGGAAGACAAGCAAAAAGCCTTTAAGCCAAGACCGAAAGGTGATGTGGGATTTTTATAATGACATGGGGGTTTTGCGGCCACTCAATTATGTCTCTGATAACAATATGCAACGTCTTTCTGTAAGTGAGAGTATTTCTAAACGTTGGACAACTGTTAAAACAAAGGCGGTTGGAGGGCCGTCTTTTGAATGTATCGATAATGATATCTTGCTTGGGATAGATTTGAAAAGTATTGTTATTGAAACTGTTGTTTGTTTCCTGGCCGTTTCAAGTCTGTATGATGAGTTTAACAAGGACGATAATCAATTTAAATATTGAAAAAAGCCTTTAATGAGGATAACATTCTATAAATCACAATGTACAATTAATGCTCTAAGTCACATAAAATACACTAACCTCAGCTTGGAATGTAGCAGAAATATTTATTCTAAAATACTTTACGTCTAGGACTATGGATAATATGTACTGTACCGAGCCTAAATTCGCACAAATTCCATGTACATGTTTACTAACTATTGGAATTTTGACATGCAATACAAAATATACTATACTATTACCTGTTATACATGTCACTTCCTATCGTCTAAACAAAGTGCCATTTTTACCAAACAACGCAAACCAAACCAAACAACGTAAACTGAATAAATATTGCTTTAGCTCAGGCAATGCTCCAAATGAAGTTGCAAGTGAACCATCAAGGCAAGCAGTTCGAGGGAAAACGGCACTTTTAAGCTAATCACAAAGCCTTGAATTTAATTATTTATTATGTTGCACTGAAAATGTTCAAAGAGGTGTTGTTTCAAAAATTACATAAATATAAATTATCATATCTACCGTAAGTTTTGAAGACAAAATCGACAATGCTCGCTAAGGGAAAAATTCTTCCTCCAAGTTAAGGAATTCTTTTCACTGCATACACGCTTGTTTCAGCACGTTACCTCAAATTTATTAAAATTCGTCGATTCAGTTGTAGCGTGACTTTTTCTCGTTACCCTCCTTTGATAAATATGAAGTAAGTACATTATTTACCAACTGTGTTACATCGTTAAACAAACGAATGGTAATTCGTTTTCTTTCCTTACAGAGGAATTCCCCAAGATAATAAAATTGTACAAATTATTCTACGAAACTTATCAATACCTATTTCCTAATACGCCACTAAGTCTCCGATTCTACATTCACAAAAGGTCGCGGAAGACAAGTACAAAAAGTTATTTCGTCAGTATGGCGACGCAAATTGGACCAACGAGTAGTCGTTATAAATGTTCTTACCAGTAAGAATAAAAGTCTGAAAGTTGCGATCTGTAATTGATCATGTTGCGGTACAGAGGAAAAATACATATTGGAACTCCGACACGTGATGAACACATTTTTAAAAGCGAGCTGGAAACACTAACATTTAGATCTCGCCAAGATGGTAAAACTGATCGGGTGTTATCAGCCTGCACAAGATCAGACTGTTTGTCCTACCCAAAAAATCATGTCGGCTTTGAGGGGAAAAAAGAGTCTCTGGATGCTAGTAACTATGAGGGTAATTCAGTTCTTCGACCCCTCCCTGCCGAGTCTCAGACCCATACGTCATCATTCTTTCCACCCCCACTCCCACTGTCCTTCAACCTAAGGGTCCTGTCATTTGCGTTATCATTCTCGTCTCGTTCCGAGTTCGCGGCTGACGCGCGCGATGAGCCTAACACTTCATCCATGGGAAATTCTTCTCTTGATCGGCTACCCCTGGAATAACTATCATCAGATGGGTAGGGAGGGGGTGCATGGTTTATACTCTCCGCCCAACTGCGATGTCGATCGGACTCCGAAGAGACGTCGGTGGCTCCCGATGGCTCACCATCCACGTATTCGTTATCATATCGTCTTCTGCTCGGATCTCTCAGGCTTCGTTCGTCGGGAGTGCGAGGAAGAGACGTGGCTTCGAAATCCATGGGCGCTCGAGCTAGTTCAGCGTTCCGAGTACTGTCGAATTGCCATCCTTCGCTCTTCATTTGTTGCTGTAACTGGCTATGGCTCCAGAGATTGGCGAGAACCTGGGACAAAACGAAGCGTTTACCGCTGAGAAAAGACATGATGACCAAGAGAGCCAAACAATATACATGTAACAACAATATCAAACTTGGTACCCTCGGTACCAGAGACTTTTCCATGCGCGGTTTCCGGTTGCTGTCAAAGCACGCCATTCGTGACTTCGGCCTCCGCCCGAAAATCTGTCGGTCTCTGGCCGACACCGAAGTATCCAGCCGCACGAGAGAAAAACCTCTTGTACCCAGAGTACAAGCCTGGCTAAGTATAAAAAAATGCATACAATACTTCATAGACATACATTCACATACGATAGTCTGCCGATAAAGTAAAGCCATACTACTTACCTGACTAGCTATTTTTATGACCCTGGGTGAGAAAGTTTTAGACTGATCCGTTGCTATTCTCACCATCTTGTGAATTCCTGGGGTTTTACGGAGGTACCTAACAAAAAAGAAACGAAAAGAGATTCGTTTACCCATGGCATAGCTAGGAGCTCTTAAGAACTCATTGAAAAAGATCTCCTGCCTTCCAGATCAAATTGGAACTTTAAAAAGTTGGTTTCACCGTTATTAACAGAAGAGAAGAGAAGGAGAATAAACCAGGAAGACAAAATCACGTAATGAGTGCATTAAAAAGTATAAACCAGTATCTTCGCTACTTCAACGGCGTATCTCTCGCGACTCAATCGTTCTCGCGATACAATTTGTAACTAAACTCCTATAAATGATTGACCTCAATAAAAATAGTTCTTATACGAAAGAATATGTATATGTTGTAGTTCAATTTTATCCTTGGTTTAATTTTCATATTCTTCTGTATCAAACTCATTACCATACCCACAAACAAAAGAAACCAAGGATTAAATTTAACCACAACATATATAATACTTACTTGGCGTTCTTGTCGTTCTTATTGGTCAGCTGAAAGATGGCGCATAGAAGCGAGGCTACCGTTGGGTCCTGGACAAGTCTCGGCTTCTCCTCATCCCCGGTGGGGAGTCTTTGTACAAGATGGACTACAGCTTTCTCGCCTAATGAGAAATGAAAAATGTACAGTTTTATTTATTGCACTGGTTTTCTTCACCGCAGAAAAACTACGCAAAAACAAACAAACAAATCAGTTATACATTAACACCTCGCTCGGAATCGACACTGCAAGGAAATGTCAAGGCAAAAAAAGAAAGGAAATTTTTACTATGCTAAAAAAGACATACATGGTTGTTGTATGTATGTTTCGGGGGGAAGGAATTAGCACGAGCAAGGTAACATAATCAAGACCTCGCGTATTTCATATATTTTGTAAAACAAGAAATAATATTAAAAGACCATTACGAAAACGGAAAGAGTAATGGAAGGACACGTGCAGAGATTTCTATACAAAAATTGTCCACACCATTTTCATACACTAGTTGCTTTTAAAGTTGAGATAACCTGCAATCAGAAATTCCTTCTTACCAACAGCTTTTTTATTTTCTGGGTCCACGCATAAGTTCCGAAGAGCAATGGCGGCGGCACGAATTGTTGGATCATAATCAATTCGCAGCAGCTCGACCAGCTGTGGAATAACTTGAGCTTTTCTCGTGTCTCCGCGGATCTTGATCGCCCACTAGAAGATATTAAACAGTGAACTTTTCATTAGCCTGCGAAAACAGACGTTTCTCCTCGCCGTTCGCCGATGGGGACGTTCTGCCTGGAATCCGGTCATGAGCGCTGATTGTACGACGGAGTAGTTACATTGTTTTAGCTATTGTTTACGAAAGACAGATAAAAGACAAAAGGCCAAAAAGGACAAATGTAAACGATGAATCTATAACAAAACAGTCAATAATTGTAGAATATATTCTTCTCTAGAAGAAGCATTTGAGTTCTGCTGGAGCTCGTTCGCAGATGAACACAACACTTCACCAAAATCGACCAAGAGAAAGGTAAATTTGATCAAATTTGCATTTGGAACCCCATGACTACCGGATTTATTATGTAAACATGGATTTACGTCATCAGTATGGAATTTCTGTCGCTGAGTCGCAGACGTTCCTCCTCGCGAAACGTCCCAAGAGGCAAGGAGTGAGGAAAAACGGATGTTTTCGCAGGCTAACTTATTATCATATCAAAATCACTGAAACATACCTGAAAACATGTACAGTTCATGTATTATGTTTGCTGAAACAGTGACGCAAGCGCACTGGGAAAAAAATTGAGTTCACCCAACTGGAGACGAACCTATGACATTCTGGTTACTAGTATAGTTGCTCTATCACTGAGCCACAGGAGACTCGTAGAGTTTTAAAGCCATTGAACCAGGTTCATGGAACAAGCCCTTTTTATTTACTTTTTTGCATGGTTTAGTAGTTTGAAGCTATTCATCCTCTTACTCGATCAAAGTTAGAGAAGAACCATGCACCAACATCTCAAATTCGTCCACAAACGCAACGGTTTGAAATGCACCATGAGTCACATTCTACAAGGACTAATTTTAACCTGGCCCCAGTTCATTGTTCAAAACATGGATAACGCTATCCACCGGATAAATCTCTATCCAGTGGATAACGTAATCAGTTTCCCTAATACTTATCCAATGGATGGTGCCGGCTATCCATCGTTTGAACAGCCGGAGCCGCTGAACTATTTCTGTCTTTCTCATATGTAGACCTGAATGAAATGGAACTGGGGAGAAGTCTAGGCGACATGCAGAGCCAATTCTGAGATTCCTGAATGCAATATCAGCAAGAGAGACATCAGTGACCTCACCTTCCATGAACAGGCCGTTAGGTTGTGCAGTGCGCCCGCTGACCCCTCAAGTGTCTCGATATTCTTCGCTTTTCGTAACAACACAAAATACTGCTGTACTGTTTGTGGTTGCCAAATAAGCTCCACTCCTTGAGGTGGGCCCTTAGGACGGTCCATGGGTCTGTTATCAGTAGGGACCTTTTTCTTCTTTCTTCCCCCGCACCCCGCGAAGCAGCCCTGTTTCTGCTGCTCCCTTACAGCAGCGGGGTCCACGTTGACGTCAGCATCATCATAACGATCCCTGTCAATCTCGCTTTCAAGCCGGTAAGACAGGTTTCTCAGGGTGCACACAGAATGTTCTAGACACTGGGGATTGAAAGATTGAGTGAGAATTTTGCCATTGTTTTCGTTTTCTTTATGGAAACGAAGAGAAAAATACATTTTATTTAACCAGCAAACAAAATGAAATTTTTTAGTTAATGACTGCGAGGAATTTCTAGCATAAATGTACATTCTTTGTTCAGCCCAGTGATTTTTTTTCACAATTCCACACTATACGGAGCATTAACTAAGGGAGCTTACGAATTGACGACTTTCGCACGACGACGCCGTTGGGCCACGTCATAGTCCTGCGTCGCCGTCATCTAGAAATTTGAATTTACGATTTTAAGTAAAGACGACGACGTTGGTGCGCTTGCTGCAAATTTTGACTTTTGCTCGACGCCGGCAAGTGCCAAGACAGGCATGCGCAGTAGGTATGTCACGCAATACAACGGCGTCGTCGTGCGAAAGTCGTCGATTCGTAAGCTCCCTCATATCTTGCAAGGGACTTTTGAAGCGACTTGCACTCATTCGCGCTAACTTCACCCGTTTACCCTACGAAGCACTGGACGACAAAGTTTAAAGCGACTTATCAAGGTAGTTAAGTCCATTTGTTTACTTTTACCAATAATTTTTCTTGCTAAAAATTTCACCTAAGTGTAGAAATTTCTTCAAATGACGAAATCACAGCTTACGCAAACAAACATGTCCACTCTTCAGCGGCATTGTTGTACGTTACAAAGAACACATACAGAGTTATATACTTTGAAAATTGACAGGCTGAACATTTTTCAAAAACCTTAATTGCAATCCGTTTTAATCTCGTTTAGTTTAGTCCATCCATCTTTTCTTTTGAACAGTTTTCAAAAACCTTAATTGCAATCCGTTTTAACCTCGTTCAGTTTAGTCCATCCGTTTTTCTTTTAACCAGTTTTTTTTAAAAACCTTAATTGCAATCCGTTTTAACCTCGTTCAGTTTAGTCCATCCGTTTTTCTTTTAACCAGTATTTTTTAAAAACCTTAATTGCAATCCGTTTTAATCTCATTCAGTTTAGTCCATCTATCTTTTCTTTTGAAGTTGCTGTGTAATTTACATGTCCCTTCAATGTTTTGAGCGGTTGTTTTTTTTTATTTTACTCAATTTGGTGTCCAGTTGCTAGTGGAAGAATTTCGCTAAATTCCGAGACAGTTCTTTCGAGTACTGTGGAACGCAACTTAGTCTTGTTCAACTTCTGAAAAAAAAAAAAACACTTACTTTTTCATCAAAATGTTGACTCTTAACGCCAATCCTAATAATCCATACAAGACAGTCGATCAAGTCCTTCTCGTCCCTGAGCTCCTGTCGTGCCCTGGTACCAGCTGAAGACAAATTGCGCACGAGTCTAGTAGCATGGACGAGTACTGCTGGCCAGGGTTGAGTTCTGTTTGGTAGCTGTCCTCGAGCCGCAGCCGCTGTCCACTCGGAGTAAGGGATGATGATTATGAGGACGATAATATGTAGGCAGACGAGGAGGATACGAAGACGAAGAGACTAGATAAAAAAGGAAAAAAAACGTAAATAAACTAGTGCATAAGTGAGGTTCCGAAAAACGTTTTGTAAAGTACGAACGTTTCACAGAACAGAGGCGTATTTCAATCCCTTAGAATCCTCTTCAAAACCGTGATTGAAAACAAAGTAGGAAATTAATCTCTACGCAATAAATGTCTTACCTCAACCGCGGACAAATTGCACAGCACACCTATAATAGCTTCTCGGTACTGAAAGTGAAAAGCATACATAGAAATTAGCGAGACGAATTGCTTAACACTTCCGCAAATTGAAAACAGCCGAAATTACTCCGCCGTACCTCGATCTTCTCGGTTTGTTGTAAAATTTCAATCAAAAGTTCTATGCCACCACAGTCAGCAATAGCCAGCTACGGTATAAACAAATACATAAATAAATAAACAAACTCATTAATTCATAAAATAAAACATCAACAAATATCAATGGAAAGCAGAATTTTTCTAACGGTCTAGAAAGTAAGTCGAAAATAATTAACTCTCAATTTTCAAACAATGAAATCCCAACATTTCGGTTCTCATGACAAAATGACAGAGACACATTTAAATGGTGTCAAATTCTTGACCCTTGAAAAGTTAGGAGCTAGTCACAGAGACGGTGCTTGTAAACCTTATAGGATTTCGCTACTTGTTTGTGAATAGCACGAAATATTGTGACATGAAACAAACAAAGCTTCTGCGAGACATGTTGCTACATTGGATTTGCTACTAAAGTTCAGTTATACTTTGCTCAAAATGTCGATGTTCTGATAATGGTACTGACATGGGATTACACTTTGTAAAATAAATGAATTAATGAATATTAATGTCACTATTCCGCTTGTAAGATACGCATGCAAACGTCACGCAAGTAAATAACGCACGCAGGCTAAGTAAACAACAACTCCATGATGGCGTAATAAGGGGGGGACACAGCCCTGTGGCAGGTTATAGCGACTTCGGGTTTTGCGCACAAAATAACACAAGCCTTACTTGTCGCCCCACTACCGTGGGGTAGGACAAAAGTCTTGGCAGAACCTTTCTTATTCCCCAGCGCCGCACGGGCTGGATCGGACAAGATTAAGGCAAAGGAATAGCTAAAAAGATGGCAAGACACAAGCAATGCCAAAAGCTTGGGGGAAGTCGCAACGCAGACTTAACCGCACCACAAGGAGTGACCCCCCAAAATTTATTGAGACAAAACATAACAACTACTCCTCCAAAGGGAGGGAGGGTGGGTAACAAAACTACTTTAAATGATTGCTTTCGTGCAAGCTAACCAAATAATGACTAGAAGTGGCATTTGCAAAGCTTTATAGTCAGACAGTGTCTCAAAATACGGCCAATAGGCACAGTTGTACTATTAACTATCTCAACTCATCATGACTAAGGTCTGGCCGTGAATAGAACTGAATAGGGCTTTGAATACAGGGACCAATCTTTGCGAAGGTAAGAAAATATACGATGACAAACATGCGACAACTCAGTGAGGTTCTAGCCATGAAAAGCTTTTGTTTTCTGCTTAAAGAATAGAGTGCTTTCATTTAATGAATCGAGCTTTCAAGACATCACCGAGCCTAAGACGAGGCAGGCTTTCTCTGCCTACCCCCCTGGGGCTTCATGCTCCATTAACTGCATTTACCCGCTGTTAAATGTCTCATTAATGTCACTATTCCGCTTGTAAGATACGCATGCAAACGTCACGCAAGTAAATAACGCACGCAGGCTAAGTAAACAACAACTCCATGATGGCGTAATAAGGGGGGGACACAGCCCTGTGGCAGGTTATAGCGACTTCGGGTTTTGCGCACAAAATAACACAAGCCTTACTTGTCGCCCCACTACCGTGGGGTAGGACAAGAGTCTTGGCAGAGCCTTTCTTATCTCCCCAGCGCCGCACGGGCTGGATCGGACAAGATTAAGGCAAAGGAATAGCTCAAAAGATGGCAAGACACAAGCAATGCCAAAAGCTTGGGGGAAGTCGCAACGCAGACTTAACCGCCACAGATGCATGCAATGCATCCCCCCAAGCAACAACAAAACACTAAATAAAGTTCCCTGACACGCGAGCCATTTTGGGAACAGCAGAAAGCAAGACCGTTTCGGGAGTGCGAATATACAGCTGATAACAGTCCGAGGACCAACGACCTAAAACTTTTATTAACCAGTCTGGTAAGCCCGCAGCGGCCGCAGCAGACGCGGCGCCTATACGGAAACTGTGACCTTTTAGACTCTCGTATGGGAGTCCCGCACAGCGAGCAGAGTCCTGAAGTAAATGCGTAACAGAGGACCGAGTGAGAAGCCGACCCGACTGAAAGTAAAAAAGGGGCCCAGGCCGAGGCTGGGCAAGCAGAAAATACCGTTGCATCGCGGAAACGGGGCACAATAGAGAAGAGCACCGAGCGACAACGAGAGATTGCCCCTGTCGAAAACTGTCAGTTTTAGAAGATTTAAGTTTGAGAAGCATGTGCTGCGGGCAAGCCAGACTTGGTGAGAAAGTCACGCAATCAGTGGTGAGGTTAAACTGAGAACTAAAACTACGTGCCCCCGGGTACGTAAACTCGCTACAACGAAGAAAGGCAAAAAAGGCTAGGGTAAATGCCGCCCAGATCATAGAAAAATCCCGAACATCTAACCAGCTCTCAAGGACGGGACGGATAGCTAACAGGACCCGGGGGGTCACCGGCTGACGGCTTATACGAGAACACCCCTGGTAACGAAGAATGCCCCTTAAAATCTTTTTTTAAAAGCAGCTTGCCCTGTAAGGGGTCATTGTAACCTGAAACTATATGTAGATTCCTGACGGCTGCTAAATATATTTTGATTGTGCAATGTCGAACTGTGCGGGCTAAATAAGACGCAAAATAGATAAGTGTCCCCTCCGACGCAGGTAAAATATCACCTGTTGGAGATGTAAGTCTGTTCATAAGACAAAATGAGATAAAACGCTTTTCTCCGGATGTATAGGTGCGTTTGGTGTTCCATGATAAGGCCCAGTTAGCATACCGTTGAACTTCATCCTTCAGAGGGTCATGAACGAAGGAGGGATGAAACAAGGGGTCCGGTCGGCATTGGGTGCGAGATCCCTGAAGCGTTTGACCTGGAAACGTGAGAGGGCGTCAGCAATTCCGTTATCTACCCCCGGAACGTGGCGGGCCCGTACCAAGAAGTTGTGTTTCATAGAAATGAGAACCAAAAAACGGACCAGGTCCATCACCCGGGGAGCTTTTGAGTGGCCAGAGTTGATAATAGCCACGACGCTTTCATTGTCGCACCAAAATTGAAGGCGTTTACCCGCAAAATGGGGGTACCAGAGGGCGCAAGCGATAACAATAGGGAAAAGTTCTTGCCATTCAATGCTAATCCCCGTCTTCTTGTTGATAAGAAGGTGAGGCGGCCAGTGCCCTTGGAACCATTTCCCATTAAAATACCCCCCGAACCCAATGGTGCTAGCTGCATCTGTGTACAATTCAAGGTCAGGGGAGGAGGTAACAAAGGAATCAAGGAAGAAGGACCGCCCGTTCCATTGGGTGAGAAAAACTTTCCACATAGTAATATCCCGTTGGAATTGCTTGTTCAGACGGATATGGTGAAAACGGCTAGGAACACCCCTGGTGAGATTGATCATGCGCTGGAGAAAGGTTCGCCCGGGGACCACTACTTTACAGGCAAATTGCAAGGTGCCGATAAGGGACTGGAGGTCCACTAGACGGGCTGAGCGGCGGGCACTAAAGGAATCAAGGAGGTGACTAATCCGAGTTAGCTTATCCTCCGGCAGCCTAGCTTCCATGCGGGTACTATCGAGCACAATCCCCATAAATTCCAAGACTTGGGAGGGGCCCAGGGTTTTGGCTGCTACTATTGGTACCCGGAGGGACGTGAACGCTTTTAAAAGGGTACTAAAGTTCTCTAAGCAGGTCACCTTAGAAGACTCTGCGATAAAGAAGTCGTCCAGGATGTGGATAACATGGCCCAGGCCGTAGTTGTGTTTTAAGATCCATTCTAAGGCATCAGAAATTTGATTAAAGAGGAAGGGTGAACTGCGGAGCCCAAATGGGAGGTACAGATCTACATAGTAACGTGATTGCCAATAAATACCCAACAGGTTCCAATCATCCGGGTGAATAGGCATAATACGGAACGCCGATTTAAGGTCGGTTTTAGCCATGTACGCCCCGGGACCCAAGGACTTCAGAATGCTTATTGCGTCGTCTACCCGTACATACTGAAGAGAATAAGGGTCTTTTGGAATATGATCATTTACGCTGTCACCCGGGGGATAGGATAGGTGATAGATAGTGCGCCATTCCGTGGAGTGCTTTTTTTTGGCACCACGCCAATAGGGTGGCACTGGAAATTGGGGAGTGGGGGCGAGAGAAAGGGGCCTGCAACTCTACCCAACGACATTTCCTTACTTAAATTCGCGGAAATAACCTCGGGGTGTTGGGAAGCGGAGATCAAGTTATTGGATACCCGGAATTTTTGGGGACCAAGGTAACCGATACGAGTCCCGTACCTGAGGGCATTAACTAAGTTATCAACAAAAGATCGATTAGGGTGATTAACTAATTCAAACGCTAATTTATCTACATCGAGAGGGGTGGACACTGTTGGTCTCTGCTTCCGCTGGCACTGTTCCACTTTATTTTTGCTGCGATCGCCCGGGGTTGCTGATTTGGTGCCTGTGGCATGCTGTCTGGAGCTGGGGCAATTGAAGAGTGCGTGACTGCTGGATCCACAGCGGCGGCAATTGTGGGGGAAGTGACAGGTACGTCGCTGACACCCTGAGGGTTTGTTGTAATCGAAGCAAACGAGGGCAGACCGGCGAGGCTTTTTGCTGGGTTCCTGGTGGGGGCAGTCATCAGATTGATGGTACGGGCTAGAGCATATAGAACAATGGGGCTTAGCGGTACCCGTAAAGGTCACCGTCCAAAGTTCGATATCTATCCTATCCCATGCGATGGTAAGATCGCGAGCTGCGCGGCGTCTAAAGTGCTCGTCGTATGTGTACCACGCTAAGCCCTTGAACTTAGTTACTGCGCGGCTAATGATCTGCTGATACTTTATGAGCTCCACCGCCCGGTTGGGGTAGGCCGTGACGATTACCAGCATGTAAGCCATAAACGCGTCCAACCATTTTGAAAAGAGTCTACAACTGGTTTCTTGCGCTTAACAACAGTAAGCGGGGAGCCCAAGGAGCCTGGGGCGAGTCCTCGTAACGCAATTGGAGGGCGGGGTCTGGGTCTGGTACAGTGTTTCTGGCAAAAGCAAAGAGAAATCAACGTACTCACCGCGGAGTATTTTATCCTCGAGTGTCTTGTCCAAGGGACGATTGAGGCCGTTCGGAGAGACCACAGAAGGAACACGAGGACTTGGTGTGCAGGAAAACGCGGGAGCAGGCGGGATAACGTCGTTGTGTGGGAGCGATTGAAACACTGCTTGAACAGTCGACGAAACGGTGTCCTGGATAGCCGCTAGTTGAGCCGGGGTAAAAACAGCGTCACACAACTCCATGGGTTCCATTGGTTCTGCGTTTAAATCGACCAAAAGGTCGCTTGTGGCGGACTCCTCCTCCTCTGGGAAGTGGTCCAAGACTTCATCTCGGTCTTGAGGTTCGGAAGGCAAGTTGGACGAGGCGGATTGACGATTGAGACTCCGTGCGGCCTGTTTGGAGCGCTTCGACGAGGTTGGTGACCTCTTGGCCACTCGACCATCAGCCCGTTTGGTTCGCGTGGGTGCAGAGAGCTGGCGGGTTCCATTCGCTGAACGAAGCCTTTCGACCAAGCGAGCGTGGTTTCCCGTGACAGGAAGATTCAGTTGTTGCAAACGAAGCCGGAGTACTTCGCTGGAAAGCTTTGAAAGGTCGGTACTTGGACGCGATGTCGCGGGCTGGGAACGTGGACGAGCCATAACAAAACTACTTTAAATGATTGCTTTCGTGCAAGCTAACCAAATAATGACTAGAAGTGGCATTTGCAAAGCTTTATAGTCAGACAGTGTCTCAAAATACGGCCAATAGGCACAGTTGTACTATTAACTATCTCAACTCATCATGACTAAGGTCTGGCCGTGAATAGAACTGAATAGGGCTTTGAATACAGGGACCAATCTTTGCGAAGGTAAGAAAATATACGATGACAAACATGCGACAACTCAGTGAGGTTCTAGCCATGAAAAGCTTTTGTTTTCTGCTTAAAGAATAGAGTGCTTTCATTTAATGAATCGAGCTTTCAAGACATCACCGAGCCTAAGACGAGGCAGGCTTTCTCTGCCTACCCCCCTGGGGCTTCATGCTCCATTAACTGCATTTACCCGCTGGTAAATGTCTCAAATAACAAGGAAAAACATATATTAAAAAACAAAAACGAAAAAATTATGGATTTCTTCAAACAAATACTCTGGGGAATAGGTGTTTATTCGAAGTTTCTTACCCGGTTAGCGTCGTGTTTTACACTGAAGGAGAGATTTCTCAGCAGGCAGAGAGCTGCATATCTTATGCGCCACTGTGAATGCCTCAAAAGCCTTACAATCACCGGGATGCCACCAAGCTCTCTGTTGAATAATAATGAAATCAAAGAAAGAGCGTGTTAGCAACGGAGGCGCGGCAAGTGCTGCTTGAACGCCGGTGAGGTACGCACGCCACTAGAGCGAAGTTGTGAGAGACGACTGAGGACGAGTCTGATTTTATACCATGTGATCACGTTTTCCTTTTACTTTTCTTATACTGTTCATTACTTCTACCCCACAATTAGTTGCTTTACGTTATTTTTGGCCATAACAATTGCCTTGGACTGTTTTTAAATCTATTTTGAGGAATTCTCAAGAACCTGAATCTGACGGTTGCCATTTGCCGTGAGCGTGACTCGAAATCTCTCTAATGAATGGAAGGCCGCGCGTAAAAACGAAAAAGATAAATCTCGCTAAAAATTTACGTTTTCGCGCGGCCCTTCAAAGATCGTCTCTATTTTATTTGCGGACGTAAAAATTACGCGACAGTGGAGAGCCACCCTAAGAGGTGGACCTACATACATCAGGCGAATTTGAATCAACTAACTCTTTTGTACCTTTATTCTTTACACTAGTACCTTCTTTCTTTTCTTCCGCTTTTCCCAGCATGAGAAGTATATAATAATGTATAAATAAACCTCCTAGGTACCTGACTTTATCCTTGACATTTTCTTTACTGTAACACAAGTGCTGTAGATAGCCGGCTGCGTTGATAATTCTTGTCTCATCTCCTGACTGCATGTAATCAATTAAATCAGGAATATCTGGCTCCTGTCCAACTAGAGGAACGCCCAAAAAAACTTTTAGTAATCAGTATAAAAAGCAAACAAAGAAAATACAAAAAGGTAAAAAAAAAAAAAGATAATCAAGAAAAATAAATAACTGAAAAGTGTTTACTAAACCAGCTGACCATAGTTCCAAGAATCTAAAACAAGAAAGTGGTAAAAATTACTATCGTCAAAATGTTAAAGTCTTTATGTCGGTAGTTCACTATATGCCTGAAATGGATCAACAGGTCCAATCATTTGAAAATCTGTTTTTCTGTAAAGTGGACTAAAACGAGCACGTTTAACGTGTTTACTCGAATAAAAGCCGCGGCGCTTATTAAATCTTCACACCTCATTTGCTGTGCTTCTTAGAGGGCGGCTTTTATTTGAAAGTTGGTTGCCTTTGATTGCATCGGGGATGCAGCGCTTATAAACTTTTTCTTCCAAATGCAGCGCTTATTCGAGTAAATATGGTAAGCACAAAGGGGTGGGGTGGGTGGAGGCGACGACAGGGTTGGGGTGAAAGGAAAACGAGAGAGTGAATAGTGCCAATTCCAAAAATCCTATTTCTTTCAGGTTGCTTATCACCCGCTTCGCGGCTCTCCCTCCCTTCATTAACTGCGTCACACATTGAAAGCGTGTCTATTTAGTCTTAACGCAGGAATAGTGCAACTGTCTGTGTCCCAATAAGAGGTCACACAACTTACCGAGCGGCAGTTCAATATCATTGTGTCGTCCGCCTATCCAGTTACCACACTTGAACACGTAACGCTCGCCACGAACAAGCGAAAATATCACAACTTCCTCCAACAGCCATCGAGAATTGGAACCAGAATTGTCATGGCCCACACGAAGCATTTTCAGCTGAAAAAGAAGGTAAAAAATCAAGGAAGAGACAGATTCGGTGTTCTACATTTTCTTGTGCTAGCTGAGAGCTTCAGGCAATTTTGCGAGACGTTTTCGCGTCAAACATTACAATTGGAGATGTCAAACATACGAAAGTTACATAATACCGTAAGTATCACGACCCTGCTGTTTGATGTAATTGTTCGAAATTTGATTAAAAAAAGGTTATTAGGATGCGAAAACAGGTAAGTAGGGACATATCGATGCCATACGTGGAAGCTACCGTGTGAGGGTGGGCTAGAAGAGAACTAATTACCCGTAGATTATTTGTGCAAAACAAAAATATAGTACCATTCATACTGACCAAAGCCGGCATTTCATTACACTGGGTACCAGAGGTTTTTTCTCGCGTGCGAAGAGGAGCTTCCGACACCGCGCATGAAAAGCCTCTGGCACCTAGGGTAGCATTTCATACATCCTTTCTTGTATTTCCTCTTAATAGTAAAGGCAGAAAGAGCAAACAAACAACAGCTACAAAACAATAACAGCGAAAAACAAACAAACAAACAAAAATAAGCAGACTAAGCATTTCCCCAACGTGGATGTGCAAGCTCCAAGGTTTCCAGGTGTCGGCCTTCAAATCGAATCGATCCTAGACAAAACGTGATTCACGATATACAGACCCACTTTCTATCGTGAGCATGTAGCACTACCATTGTAGATCAATTTTCTTGTTACCCCAACTCACCCTGCCAACATCCCTCGCTCGAATCCTGAACCTGTCCAGCTGTCCTCGATTAAAATAGCCGCCTTCTTTGTTCTTGAGTTCGATTTCTTGGCTTTCTCCATCCTCCCCGATCATTTGGAAATATACGCTCGCGTCTGTACCCGCGTTTTCTTCAGCGGCTGTCTGAAATTCTACGTCATACTCCGAGTCTGGTAAAAAATAGGGCAGCACGGGTGAACAATGTTTCTACAAAGCCCGAATATTACCATTAAAAAAAATCGCCTACAAATGGTGGAAGACATTTCCAACAATTTTTTCAGTGAAGTGAAATATATGAAATAAATCATATTTTGAACTGAAATACATTTCATATATTTCACTTCAAGTCATTTCCACCATCGGTTATATTACCAACTCATAATGGCCTGCTCCGGCTTCAGTTGGCTTGATTAGCTCAATCAATAGAGTATTGTGTCCGGTCATCGCAAAGGTCAGGGTTCCATTCCCGGTCAAGCCTGAATTTTTATGGATTCTTTTTCAACCGCTTAGGTTGTTTATGCAACTGCAAGGATCATTCTAACCTGCGTAGCTGTCGGGATTCGCGGCTGAGTGCTGTATTTTTTTTTTGTAGCGGCGGAACTAGACTGTTCCTATTTTTTCGTAAGATCGACAGGATCGAGCGCTTACCGGTACTGGCGGCCATCTTTGTTTCTAATGTACCGAGGGGACGGCGTCGGGGACTATAGCAGTGCAGGGAGGGAAGACTTCTGCCAAATCGCGCCCCGCCTCTTAAGTAGATTTGACACTCTTTCCGTCCAAGAAGGTCGCCCGTAACGCAAAGCGATCGATCTCGAAGACCTCAAGGGAAAAATAGGGGACTGTGAACAGTCTAGGTCGGAGCCGCTTGAAGATTGGGTTCGCCTCCTGCTTCGCGTGACGGTTTTGCCGCCAAGAAAGTACCCTGGGCACAATAATCCCGCCAGCTACACAGGCTACTTCAGTGTAATAAAACAACATTATAACTCAACTGGATGATTTCTAACTTGGCCTTACCTGGTGCTGCTCCAGTTTCTGTAATTGAGAACAAAAAAATAGGGTAAGAAAAACTGCCTCATATTTTTCCAAGAGATCATAAAATCATGATTTCACCTGGTATGAAACACAACAAACAGATTGTATAAGGAATGTCATTTCATAACCTGAAGTCAGGACCACTTTATCAGCTTTTATATTTATACATTCTCTCATAGATGGTCGCCTTTGGCCTTGCCCAACGGAATTTTAATTGGCACGCAGAACGAAGCTAAACTGATAGAGCCTGATCTCAGATTAGTTATTTCAGTCACGACCTAGGTCATCAATTCATCCAACCAATCAGGAGAAACTTCATTTTCTCAAGTAAACGGATGTCTCATCTGCTTCTCAGAGGTCAACAAATGATTTTCTGTGTTAATTGTTAAAATAAACTTTTCTGAACCGCAACAAAGAGGATATTCGACTTTTAATCACGAGGTAATTGGAACTAAACCAAAACCGAAATTCCCGTATTACGGGCGCCTAGAATTAGAGGCAAAGTGTACGCCCTAAAATCCAGAGCTTTTGGCTTTTTAACCTTCCTCGGTTCTGAGGGTATTTTTGTTTTATTTTTCTAAAGTGAGTGCACTAAATCAAATGACACAATAGACAGCTTTAGATTCTAAGACGAGAACAACTACGAGAACAAGAGTTTCTTAATACTGAGTAGTACGCGCGTGAACCAGCGTCATTTTGGAGGGAAAACGCAATAGCCATCGTCATTCTACTATGGGTTTTAGGGAGAATGTCGTACCAGACGTAGTGAAGGAAACAAGTCATCAAACGTTAGAAGTTTTATAATTTTGCGATCAGGCTGGTGAGAAAAAGTACAATGAAGCTTCACGGGGTGTCTATTTTTTAAGAGAATACGCGAAAAAAAAACTTTAAGTTAATCTAATCCTCGTAGTCCTCCTCGTCCTCGAATCTAAAGGTATCTAATAAATTCACACCACGTGACTTACGTTGCGGCTCCTCGATCACGGGTTTGACGGGGCCTTCAATATCATCCACTGAGAATAATAAAAATAATAAAATACAGTATAAACTGACAGAGTTATGTGGCAGAGTCTAAGTGTGCAGTGGTTCTCGACATAAAGAACCTAAGTGTGAAACGAAGAGCCCAGTAGAACGGAAGAAAATTTTCACACTATTCATGGTAAAAGGTATCGAAGAGGGCCGCGAAAAACCAGGCTCAAAACAGCGTTATTTTGCAATGGTCGAGAATTCTCCATTCTGAAAACTGTAAGGGGGAATGGGTACAAGCTTTCGGGGCAACGATTTCTGGGATAGTTTGTGTGGACAAGAGTTACTTTTGACTGGTTAATGGTTGCCTTTGATACCATCGATCCCACCGTGCCCAAAGCTTGTACCCATTCTCCCTAGAGTTTCTGAGGTGTAGAATGCGATCACTTAGCACACGAAGGGAGTGGAGCGAGGGTGACACGTAGGGTGCGAATCGTATGCTTAGAGTGAGAATTTTTCGAAAGCTCTTAGCGCCTCGCCCCTCACAAAGAGCGAAAATTTTTAAATCCAACTATTTGCTGTCTTAGATGTAACGTTCTCTGGCTACAACAAGCATATTTTCCAAGACCCTGGACTTCGTTACAACGTGGTTCCGCCCAATTCTTTGTTTGCAAACACGTGAAAAGGCGACCTTGTTTGTGGTCAGTAGAGTACAATTTTTTCCGCAGGATTTGGATGAAAAGCACCGGAGAGAAAAGCACCGGAGTTCTTGTTCTTGCCCACTAACACGACCGTCTTTGCGAAACATGCAAATAAGCACTATGGCGCCTCAAAAATGTAACAAAAAATCACATTCGCTATGGCCAACATAGAACACACATGGGAAGATCGGAAGCAAAAATCTACCGTTAAGTAATTCAGTTCTATATTCAAGATTCGGACAACCATTCTCTTGCCCTGCGAGGCCGTTGTTGGTGTCTCCACGCAACGCTCGATTTTGACAGTGTCTACCAATATTGAAAAAACATCAAATTATTTTTGTATATTACCTGGAAACAAGACCGTCTCCTTCCGCTGACCAGGATCTGCGCCTCCAAGCCATCCTCCGCATCTGAATTTGTAATGTTCATCCCGCACGGGAATGTCAATATCCACTTCATCTAGGAACCACGCAGGATCTTGTCCCCTGTTATCATGTCCTATCACAAGCTTCTCAAGCTGAAAATTTAACCCATTGGAATTTTACTAATAAAGAACTGTATAGTAGACCATATTCATCAATATTAATGGTAACAAACATTTTAAAGATTTTACTCTGCATCAGCCTCGATTACAAGCTAGTCCCAGTTCTTTGTCGTGAAAACGAATATGGCCGACTACAGCAAAAAGACATAAAGGTCAAAGAGACAAAAATGCTCATGTGAATGCTACTTATACAAAACTACCAGTGCGATAAAAGCTATAGAAATTCTTTAAGCTACCACTTTCGTACCCTGGGTGCCAGAGGCTTTTCATGCGTGGTTTCCGGTATCGGTAAACAGTCTAAAACTAAGTGACCCGCCGCTCGTGTCTTCCGCCTTCGGCCCGCGAAGCTCCTGGTCGCACGCGAAAAAAAACCCTTTGGTACCCAGGGTACCACTTTCCTGTTTGCGAACTCTGAGTAGTACTTCCTGCTATGCTGTTGATCAGTCTGGGTAAAGTGATTCAACCATTAAAGGTTTGTCCATAAATTTAGGTTTCTGGGAAACTGCCCACCTACCCCTCCCCTAAGTTAACATTAACACTTAGTTCTCACTTAGGGCAAAATGATGGCTTAGGGGAGGGGTAGGTGGGTAGTTTCCAAGAAACCTAAATAGTCCATTTTCGAGTTGGCTATAACCGCTGAATTAAAGAACTGAAGACGCATTTTTTACAGCCTTAGCCTCAATCTGAAGTAATATATTCACAAATTCCAACCAGAAAAAGACTTGTTTATTACTCTGTCTATTGTGTATATTCAAATTTCAAACACTTACCAGAATTTCTGAATATTTTACTATGCGTCAAGCCTAACCCTGCATGAATGTGTCCTTAATGTTTATATTCAGCGGTAATTTTTCATTCAAAACTAGACTATTGATCCAAGTTCTTCAGTGTGACCGTTCAAAAAGAGTTACAACACATGAGAGAAATGTGACGTCACGCTACCAAGGTAGCAAAATTTCTGGATCTCAAAAATCATTAATTCTTGACAGAGATGGCCATTTGCATTGTCGAACGATGGAAGAAACGTAAGGGCTATCTTTTGTTCCTGAGTGCAATCATGCACAGTAAAGTCATACCTGCCCATTTTTTCGTTTTTTTTTTCTGCCACATTTCCAGGATTACGGTATGTTGTGATCCAGAAATTTTGCTACCATGGCCACGTAACGTAACGACTTCTCATCTCGATTCTGTGGTGTTGCTCCATCAACAGTGTACGAGAGTCTTTCAAAGTTTGTGTTAATTCAGCGGTTAGCATAAGGTAATGTATCGGTCAAATCGAAGCTTCAACATGCCCCCCCCCCCCGGGCAACTCCCCGGGCATTTGACTTTTTTGAAAATTATTTTTCAAATTCCCCCCTACCCAGGCCAAAATGCCGTTCAAATTCCCCACACTGGGGTCCATTCAGGTGATCAAATGCCCCCACCCAGGGGACATTTCACAGGCACAAAAACGACAGAAGGACGGCGGAAACGCCTTCAGTTGTCGAACAAAATCTTTATAAATATAACAAAAACTGAGAAACACTGTTAGCGTATTTAGGACAAACAAAAGTCTCGTGAAAAGCGGCGGAAATCGCAGCTACAAGGTCACTGAATGCTCAGCTTTTCTTCGTCACGCAACGTACAAATCGTTCTATAAAAAAGATCCCACCTATTGAGATTACTACATCATGACCATTTCACTGAATGCATCATCGCTCACCTTATTAATTAGCATACTTCAAATAGGTCAAAGTAGTTGACCTGAGCTTTTTATTTTATTTTATGTTGTTGTATTGAATCGCCGGTATAGGTATTGTATTTCATTGTAAACACAACAATAAAATACATTCATACATTCAAAGCCTGAATCCAAAAATAAAAATTTTAAAATTTAAATACTTCAAATACGCCACAAAGCTTGTATAAGCCTTTTCCTCGTAACCAATTGGCCACAAAGGCACAATCTTTTCCACGAAAATCCTCTAACACCGCGTCCCCCATAGCTCGCCACGACAAAGATTTTACATGAAATCGAGGGTGCAGTTCAAATTCCCCACCCCTAAAGCATGGGGATCAAATTCCCCACCCCCTGGAAGACTCTGATAATCAAATTCCCTCCTCCCCGGGACGGCAAAGGTGTCAAATACCCGGGGTATGCCGGGGGAGGGGCATGTTGAAGCTTCGATTTGACCAATACATAACATCGGCTGAAGCCAGTTTGTTTCTTTCAGTTAAATTACCTGAAGAACAATTTAAGTCCAAGTTTACTGTATAATATAAAATAAGATAGATAAACAGAACTGGGATGCTTCGAGCCCGAGTCATTTGCTTCATAACCTACCTTCATATCCACTACACCATCGAGAACAAGCTGCCAAAAACCAGTAATGTTTGATATACACATACATGAACGCCATGGTACGCCGAATTCCATTAAAATATTTGAAAGCTAACCGTTTTCAGTTCAGTGCTTAACCCTAATCACTGCAGATAAGTATTTAACTCTCCAGACTGTTCTCTTAATAACTGGCGCTTTGTAGTTCTGTTTTTTTTTCCAGCAATTGTACAAGGTTAATGGGGTTCTTTTTCAGTATCGTTCTGTTAAGAGGAAAATGCGTTGTGTAAACCTCATAGGGTATCAAATCTGGCTTCACCCGATGTTATCTAATGCTAAGCTAAATTTACGGGCAGCGTGTGTTTCAGCTTTGTCACCTTGCCAACATCAGCAGTTTGTACCACAAACTTGTCAGCTCTGCTGCGCTCAAATCGCCTGAAGGTCTGTCTCTCGTCCTGTAGGTCGATTCGTGGTGTTTCACCTTTGTTGCCGCATAACGCGAAATACACGTTGGCGTCTGTTCCAGCGTTCGGTTTATCACCCGTTTTGATGGTCATATGATACGAGATGTCTGCAAAAAAGACACAACAATAAGGTTTTATCCGCTCAGACAGAGTTGATGTGGTAATCTGATTTAACTGCTGGTGTTCCAAGTGCTAGCTCTTAGCAGGAGCGAAGACGCTAACGAACGAGCTTTACCCTTCAAAGACAAGCTACCGCTAGAGAGGTTTTTGTGTTTCTCTTTCATTAACGCAGGACAGTAGCGTCCTGAAGTCAATTGAGGTCACGGTGTCTATATATACCGGCTAATCATGAGCAAGAGTCATGTTTGACAAAATCACCGTTACAAAACAGAAACATTTTCCAAGAATTAACAACACACTTTTTCCCAAATCGAGAAAAACTTTCACAAAACGTTAATACAATAAATTTTCTCCCAGATCGATACAAACTTGGAAAATATAACAAAACGGGCCGACGTTTACCCTGTCCTACCCAAGCCCCGACTCCATCCCGCTTTCAAGAATTTTCAGTTCTTTTTTCCCTTTCCATTTTTGAGCTGCCGTTCCCAGTTAGATATAAGACCATCTGATGACTATTGTAGTTGTCAGCTGTGGTATTTACCTTCAGGTTCCTCGGGGACTGGTTTACCAGGGATAAGCTCTCTAATAATTGCGGAGTTGGAGTCATCTTTGCCGAGCCAGCAACGACAAGGGAACACGACAGTATCCCCTTCTTTGTTCGTCACGGTAACCTCCTCGACAAACATGGTCCGACCACGCCCATATCCATCGTCGCCGATGCGAAGTTTGATGATCTATAAATACGTGAAGAAAATATCTCGGTCAAGACCCCGGTCCGGAAAAATTTTTGAAGGGACGAATTTTTACCTGCGCAACCTGTTTACACGGAACCGTGCAAATTCTGTTACAGTACTAATTACACTAGTCCGTAAAAATTTTTGCCACTGTCAGCATAGGAGTGGTTTTTATTTTAATCAAAGGCGCGTAACTAGGCTCCAGGCTTTCACCGCACAAACTGTGCAAAACCTTACTTGGTTCAGGTGTTTACACGAGTCCGCGTAAAAGCGGGACCATACCGGTCAAAAATATTGACCTCTTCTCATCAGGTCAAAATGCCGTTCAAAAACTTGCACGGTTCCGCGGGTCCAGTGTGATCGAAAGACGGATCTGTGCAAGTTTTTGCCCGTTCAAATTTGTTCGGACCCAAGTAAACGGGGTCTAAGATATTTCATTTCACTGGGACATACCAAGAAGTAGTTTTGGAGGGTAGCGGGGATTGAGTGGTGCTTATGGACAGCTTTCTTGGCTGAGCTTAGCACAGTGCAACGGCTTGGAAAAATTCAACCCTCCGAAAACTTATCAACTGTAAAAAAAACATTGTTTCTGACGAAAGAAAACTATATCTAAGCCTGGTTTGGCTTTCTTACTAATGAATATCATACTTCGGAAAGTTTTCATCAGCGATAATGACAATTCCCTCAAAAAATAGCTCGGAAAGGTTCACGTATTTCCCTATACATACCTCTCCAATATCTGGGTTTTTGACGGACATTTTATATGTATTCCCCTTGGTAAACACATGTGATCTGGAGTAACCTTCTCGTAGGCGGATTTTGCCGGTTTCGCCCTGTCGACCAATAATCTGGTAAAACGGGTTTACATCGGGGTCCAGGACCTCGCCAACCTTGAAACTCACTACAACAAATAGAACAGCTAGTTTGGTGGAGTACTAGGAGGGTGACGGACTTGTTACTTACGAACGACAGTCCTACAAACTGTCATTGTTACCGTTAATGGTCATCGCCCTCAATGTGCACGATGCATCAGGTTTTACGACAAATTTGAATAATTTGATTTGGCAAAGAGAAAGCAAACAAACTGTCCTTTAGTGATACAATTACAGTCAACTATCTCTTAACGGACACCTCTGTAAGACGAACATCTTGCTAAAACAGATAACTAGAGTTGGTCCATGCCTTTCTTTACCCCGTTTAATTGCCTGTCTATAAGATAGACACCTCTCTTATACGGACACATAGTGCTTACCCAAAGGTATCCGTCCTGGCGCAAGCACATTTGTTAGTTCTTGTGAATATGAATATGAAGTTATCACGAATACAGTTGAAAGCCGTACCTGTGTACATTCCCTCTTGATCTCGCGGAGAGCCTTGTTCTGTAACAAAACCATAAATATATTATAATAAACTATTCAGCGTATGTGTAATATTAAGCTCTTGGGTTACTTCTGTGAAGTCAAAACTCTCCTTAATTTTAATAGACTGGTCCAAGGTTGACCAGATGAAAGATAAACCTAGGATATCTATAGTACAGTATAACCTCCCCTTACGGACACCTCTGTAATGCGGACAGTTCGTTTGGTCCCAGAAATGCCAAAAATCATACATTCCCTACCTCTATAATATGGACATGTCTGTAAAGCGGACACTTGGTTCTGTCCCTTTGGTGTCCGTATTAAAGAGGTTTGACTGTATTATGAATATCCAGCGTCGTGGGGTAGACTTCCAAGACACGGGGGTGGGGAATTTTTAGCCCTCATCGTAAGCACACCGCATGCAATTAAGTTGTACTATCTCATTCGGCCGGCTTGATATGACAATATAATAAGAAACTTATTAGAATATTAGTTGCATGTCTGTTTGCATGGTATTTCTACCATATTATAAGGAAACACCTTCAAAGTTGACTGTTTATGTTTAATCATAGAATCCTAAACGCCATCCTCAAGAAAGAATTTAGATATCCCCACCCTTCCCCCCTATTTGATGAGATAATTCGACCCTGCAAGCGAGAATACACATAGCCTGAAATATAAGCTGAGGCGGATCCAGGAATTTTAGTTAAGGGGGGTCCAACTTGCGCACACTGTTAGAACAAATAATTTTACCCTTCCTCACCGTTACATTAGTTTATACACTAATAATGGTAATAGGACTGACTCGAGTCCAATTAGTGAGTGAGTCATACGAGTGATAAGTTCCACTGAAAAGGTTTGTTTACCTGGAGAAAAATCTACCGCGTTATCCGAGCTTCCAATCCAGCGGTTGCAGTAGAAGACATAGTGTTCGTCTTTTTCGTCCACGTCAATAGTGATTCTGTCGAGCAGCCAGCCGGGCTTAACACCCTTGTTGTAGCGGCTGATACGAACAGAATTGAGCTGGATATGGAACGAGAGAACAGACATCAACCCTGTTCCTCCTCGGTCAATTACGAACACACTTGGCAAAATGTAAGTAGTTCTAACTTTTGAGTCTGTGGATGAAATCCTATGGTGTGACCATTCAAATGAAACCTCTTCAGCAGCACTTTGACACAGTACTATTTATTTAGCATGTAGTTCTAACTTTTTCAGTCTTGAGACGAATCCTAACTGTGACGATTCAAACGAAACCTCTTGAGGACAGAGTAGCGTCTCGTGATATCATTTTGTTATTTGATATTCAACCAAACAATACGTCGGTTCTTTCTTTCATGACGATTTTCTGCATTCTTGGAAGTTAAAGGACTGGGTTAATTTAAATGCAACAAAGCACGAAATATCATATGAAAAAGAGGAGTAAACACCAGGGTGTACTACAATCCTTGCTTTACCTATAAAAACAGCACGGTTAATTCAAGTTACTGAGGACGAACTTTTACAGATCATCCACCGCACCCCGCGAGTAAAGCCTCCTTTTGTCTTCTTGAAAGAGAAGGAGAAAGAAGGCTTTGCCCGATCAAGCCTTTGGGAGCCGCCGCAGCCCGAACTTCTGCAAAAGTCTATCTTGTTCTCTATCATCAAACTGGTTTTTCGAGTGCGAGAATTTATTTATTGATCAACCTATGGTCATAACTGAGCCCGCTGTACCAAGCGCACCGCTTTTAGGCCTGGGGTCAAAACTGTATCCCGGCAACACGCAGCATATAATAGTGAACTAACGCAACAGGACGGGAGAGGAAAGACAATAATTTTGTTTGAACAAAGATTCCGCCAAACTTCACGTTCCTTCAGACAGATCTTTTTTGTAGAAGGGAAAAAAACATCAATGTTAAGTGAATTCCCGACAAAACACGCTAGTAATAGCCCCGTCACGTTTGTAACAATCAAGCGTTTTGCCGTCCTCTTCTTTCTGCCGTCCTGTTGCGTTAACTCACTATTAGGGAGCTTAAGCAACGACGTTTTTGAGCGACGCACGTCAACCGGAAGTTGCCCTTTTTCATTTTTGGGCGATGGTTTTGCCCAAATTTTCAGTCAAATCGTCTCTACAAGAGTAAAGAAACTAAGCAATACAAATTACATAGCGTCAAGGCATATTACAAGGGAAAAGTCCTCACTTCCGGTTAACGTCCGTTGCTCAAAAACGTCTTTGCTTAAGCTCCCTATTATCTTCCTCGAATACGCCAACAACGAGCTCTAGCGGCAGGGCGAGTTCACTGTTGAGGGCATTTATGGTGGCATTGAACAGAAGGAATAGACGTGCAGGCTACCAGATAGCAAACGGTATAAGAGACTACTATAAACATTACCTTTCCAACATCTTGTGTTCGGATCAGAAACTTGTCCACTCGACCGCTCTCGAATCTTCTTTTGTCTCCTTCCTCTCTAAGAGAGAAGTTTTGCGTCTTTCCATTTTCACCAAACATTTGTAGATACACATTAGCGTCTGTGCCGGCATTAGTCTCCTCGCCTGTCTTCACTGTGATACGATAGTCGACTTCTGCTAAATAAACAGCCAATAATCAACTTAGCAGACACTTCCCTAGAACGGAGACTTGGCGATGGTCCCTGCCTTTCATTTTTTGGCGGGACTGTCCATCACGCTAACACTTCTTTAATCTACACGTAAGCACATACCTTCGGTCTAAACCAGACGATGTCCCTTCTCGAAAGATTTGGTTGTTTGTGCGAAATGGACCCTCCCATTGGTTCATTGAGTTTTTTTTGTTTAACCAATCCACTTATGCGTAAAACCCGCGAAAGATTCCTGAAAAGCACACCTCAAAAACGTCACGCCAAACAAGGCTTTCTTCTTCAAACAAAATTCTTCGATTGTCTTTTTACGGCATAATAAAAAGACTTTGTTCTAGCCTTCCATTGGTGATGTGATGATGATGATGACTACGACGGCGGCGGCGACGACGACGACGATGATGATAATGATAATAATATTAATAATAATAAATGTGACAAGTCATCCTTACCTTGCGATAGATCCTTTGTTTCAGCTAAAAACACCAAGGAAACATAAAAGAACGTAAATATGGAAATGATAAATTTAAAAAAAAACTTGTCTTGTCCTGTTCTAAAACTTGAACAATGAAAAAAAAATTAGCCCACAGCAATTACCAAGAAGGACATTCAATTTAATACTAACCCGTCGATTTAACGCAATATCAGTATTCTAGAATGACAAAGTCGTCAATTATTTTGCCTTGACTTAAAAAGGGGTGTAAGCTCTAAAGGTTAAAAGTTCCGACAGATGCTCGCATAGTTGTTCGCTGAAATTTTAAATAAATGTCATAACCTATGCGCTCAAGAGCTTCACTTATGTCCACGTTTGCACGCAGCTGCAAAAATTGCGATTTATCGCGTGTTTGCGAAAAATCTCAAAAATCGCAATGTTGGCGATTTTTTGAAAGCCAGTTGCGAAAATTGCGATTATCCAGAAATGTTGCTACCATGGTAACGCGACGTCACACTTCTATCTAAAACCAAATATGTATAAAACCTACCAGGAAGTAACACTACGTCACGCTGACTGCCGACGAGCCAGCGATGACAGGGGAAGATGTACTGTTCTCCTTTATCTGGTACATCAATAGTAACTTCCTCTAGGTACCAGTCCGGATCCCGGCCAGAATTATCATGGCGGATATGAAGCTTCTCAATCTGGAATCACGTAAATTGAATTACTTTCACTCAATAAAATGTCATCACCCCTTCCCCTCACCACCCCTGCAAATGATCACAGAAATAAGGGCACAGAACTGAGGGTATGCGAGACCTCTAGTCTTTCCACAGACTCTCAGTCTGACAGTTTGTTTAAAAGGTATTTAGTTAAGACTATCAGGATTATTACCCGTGTACTAAGAACACTTTAATAGCACGAGACAGTGTCGAGATATAAGCTCTATGAGAGATGACACAAGCTTACAACTGTAAAACATCAAAATTTCAAGAGAGGTAACAAACCCTCGGACCGGGGTTCTATTTTTGGACCAAAAGAGAGAACATTAGCAACCCCACCCCCTCCTCCCCACTGCCGCCAACCACCACAACTAAAGGTCTTGACCCGCTGGAGGTGCTATAGGTGAAAATTTTTCTTTGCTTACGTTGTTGTTGTTGTTGTTTTTAATTTTTGCGCATTGGACTAACGGAAGATGTCGCAGTATACACAAATTAAGTTAATAAGTTGAAAGAGATGATGAACTTGAGCAATTTGGGCAATTTACAGCTCTTTGCAAGCAATATCTAAGGAAAGAGCAGCCATTACAGAACACAAAACTGCTGGGTGGCAAAAACGGTACTGACCAATACATTCTTTGAAAATTCTCGAGTTTTTTTTTAAAACCAAAGCTATTTCTCCGAAACTATTCAGTGTATTGGAGTCCGACTGCAAGAGAGCTGGGCCATTTAATATTCAGAGAAGTTAATTTAACAGCTAGAAAATGTAAACTAAGATTCACCTATGTATTTAGTATTTTACCTTTCCAACATCCCTCGTGTCCACTTTGAACTTATCACTGTTTCCTCTGTCAAAAAGACGCAGACTTCGGTCTTCACTAAGCAAGATAGGCTCTGTTTTACCTTGGTCGCCCAGCAGTTCAAACTGAACTTTAGCTGTTGTGCCAGCGTGTGGTCTGTCACCAGTTTTGAAAGTCACTTGGTATGTTGTATCTGTAAGACAAACAAAATAGGTCAGCGTCCAGATGCGAGTACAGCCATTTTTACCGCCCTGTTACAAACTGAAGCTTTAAAATGAGTTTTGTGTGCAACGACTTACGAAAACGTTTCGACAAGTGTTAACCAGTATAGCACAAAAGACGAAACTGCAGCCAGGATAGCGAGGCTAGCTTTACAAAGGGGCGTTCAGTCACACGGAGACGCCTCTCTCAGTCGTTCTCGCTCTCGGGAACGAGTCGGAGGGAACCTTGGAAACGAGGTCGGGTCTGTGCCCAGTGAAGTTGGTGGAACAAAACTGTCAGTTTTTTTAACAGCGCCCTACAAAGACTTACCAAGAGGCACCTCTTTCTCAGTCTGCTGTACGTGTTCCACAGTGATTTTATCGTCTTCACCAGTCCAACAGTGACAGGGAAATGTGACCTCGTCCCCGCGCGAGGCTGTGACCACCACCTCCTCAACGTAGAGTCCTTTACTGGGGGCACCAGACAGGTCCTGACCCACCTTGACATCTACAACCTGTACAACCAACGGAAGGGAAGGATTGTTATTTATGGCAGGAGCGCGCGGAATGGACTTTGTCGGGAAAAAAACTGGAATGCGCAATCAAAGAGAAGAACGGTTAAAGGTTTAGAAGGCAATTCTCTTGCAATACTGTGTCACAAAGATTATGACGATTTGGGATCCGCATCCGAACGCAGATTTCAAGCTTGAAATATTTAACCTAGGGAAAGCCCCCCTTCGCCCCTTTCCCCCCCCCCACAGTACCTACCCTTCCGATATCGTTGACCCTGGCTACCACTTTGTACATTCGATCGTTCTCGAATTTGTCCTTTGGTCCATACCCGGGCTTGATCTGAATCTGTCCACTTTCTCCCTTCTCGCCAACAAGCTGGATCCAAACTGGAGCGTAAGGATCTGCGACTTCACCCAGCTTGAGATGAACTACAAGATAACGAACGGTTTGTTTTGTTTTTCAGTTTAGTGGCTGCACGTTAGTCGGGTAATAGCCTTCGTAGCTGGCGGGATTCTTGTCCCCGGGGTATTTCATGGCGGCGGAGCCGACACATGAAGCGAGCGTCGAAGCCGAAGGTTTCGCTTATCCCGCCAGCTACCCAGGCTAGTCGGGTAACACACGTGATCAATGATCGGTTTTCATTGGTTCTTTTTCTTAAAAAAAAACAAAAACCCTCCTCGCGCAGGGTTTACCACCTTCGTCTTAAGTGCGGTATAATACTATCGCTTTATGCTTGTTTACGATCTCGAGAAAAATGGTAACAAGCAAAAAGTACTGCCTCGCCTAAGGAGGAAATCAAAGCACACATCATCCTTACAAACCGCCGTAAGTGACAAAACAGCCATTACATAAGTTTTTGTTTGGAGCAGAGTTAATCAACTATAATAACTATACAGCTGTACTTTGAGAACATGAACTGAAATTGAAATGAAATATAAACTTACTTGTGTACAATTCTGTTCGAAGTGCTTCATCAACTATAAATATAAGCAAAATAAATCAGCATTGTATCATGTCGCAGTTTACCTCTTGCTGAACAGACAGAAACAAGGAAAAACACAAAATCAGCAACTCTCACATCCAAAATTCTTTCTGATAAAAATACTGATATAAATAAATACATCAATAATAAAAGAGGCACATTGGGGTCGTGAATCACGAACCTAATCACCAAGTGGGTCCCGCTAAAAAGACCATTTTCGTATTCTCAAAAAACATTACAAGGAAGTAGCTTAGATTCAAGGCTTACGCCTCGACCAAAACCTAGGTTTACTTTCCCAACGAAAAAAACAAAGGCATTCGCCACTTTAGAAAGGGCACTGGAGCCGGACTGTGTGCCGCAATTGTTTCTGGGATCGCTACTATGGACACGCCGATCATCTGTCAGCCATTTTTTTTACCTGTCCCTAGTTACAATCCCAGAAGTCTTTGCGAAAGTTAACTCGACCCAGTTTCCCTCGTTTTTAAGGTGGTGAATGAGGGATTATGGGGTGATGGTAATAGGGACCTTAAGATGCGTGGACGGCGACGGCAGGTAAAACGTCGCTTAAAAAGTGATTCGCGCTCACTTTGTCGAATGTACGCGAACTCTCCTGGAGTTGAATTCCTAAGAGCCTCATCCAAGTTAAGAAAGAGGAAAGAAAATTTTGTCCCTGCTTGTTTACGTGCTCTATAAAACATGAAATTAAGCATTTTCACGTCATGGTCGTGCAGTGACGGCAAAGAAATGTACAAAAAGGTGTGATGCACGTGCAAATGAAGTTGTTGTTTTGCTTATTAAACCTATCGCTTTTATGACGTTCTCGTTGCCGTCGCCGTCGTCTGATCTTAAAAGTACGGAAAAACGGGCAACAAAAAACGTGCAACTTGTTTTACAACATTGCGGCAAAACGAGTTGAATAACGATGTTGCGCGCTCTACCACCCACATCTTGCAACAAATCAGGTTGTAAACAGGTTTGAACATGGGTGGTAAAACCCGCAACATTGCTATTCAACTCGTTTTACAGCAATGTTACAAAACAAGTTGCACGTTTTTTGCTGCCCGTTTTTCGGTACCTTAAGGTCCCTATTGAGTAATCTTTAAAGAGGTTTACCTGGATCCAAGTCAACTCTTTCGCCAGCTATCCAGTTATTGTACTCAAAAACATAAATTTCATCCCTTGAGGGAACTTCGATACTCAGCTTCTTCAAGTACCATTCAGGATTGCGGCCAGTGTTATCGTGTCCAACACGGATCTTCTTCAGCTAACAGATAAGACGTTAAAACTTTAGGGACCGACCATTAGTGAAGGAAAAATATTTGTCCAGGGGAAAATCTTATGACAGGTCTAGCCTGCGAGCAAGCTGTCCATTTTATATGGTGAGCCAAGCGAGCCGCGAAAGAATGCGCGAGAAGGCGGCGAAGCTGAGAGGAGCGTGCTACTCTCGCGTGACCTCTCACGACTCCCCCAAATGGTAAATTGCTCGCAGGCTAACAGAAGAAAAGTGTATTACCACTTACAGTAAATGATCGATCAAGCGCCGCTTCTCAAATAAGCGCCGCACCTCCACCAAAAATAATTTAATCAGCGCCGCTCTTGAATAAGCGTCGCGGCGCTAATTTGGGTATTTACAAATAGACGCCCAATCTTTGTTACGGCGCTTGATATAAAGAGATATGAAAACCAAAACCATATCGCTTGACAAATAAGACCACGACCAACTCGTGAGTTTCTCTCGTTTTAATGTGGGGAAGCTCTTGAAACCGGGTTCATATAACGGTTCGAGGTGTACATATTTGTCCTTTTTCTTGCACAACTTAGAGTTCTCTCTATATCTCCCTCGGTGTTTTCCCCGTTGTTGAAGTAAGTGCCGCACCTTTATTCATTTACGGTAACAGTTAAGATATCTCATCATTAACTTACCCGCCCTACATCCGCAGTTTCCACCGCAAATTTGTCAATTCTTCCTCTTTTAAACTTGGGCGCCTCTAGTTTGTTTTCGCTTCTAAACTCGATCTTTTCAGTTTGTCCCTTTTCTCCAAACAGCTGTACATAAACAGTAGCATCGGTGCCAGCGAAGGGTACATCCTCTGTTTCAAACGTCATGTTGTACAATGTACCTGAACATAATAACAATTAAGAACTGTTGTAACACAAGATGCTTCCATTGCATTTAGATACTACGCAGCTTCTATAAGCACAATAAATAATTACGTCCACACAGCAACTTCAAATCAGCGAATGGATTCTCGTCAAAGTACAATTTTCGGCTAAACAACTGGAGTTTTCTTTCACGCAGCGAATTAACGAGGAATGCGCTGAAATTCTGCACTGTTTCAATCCATGTTCACCTTTGCCATCCGATGCAACAGACAGTTTCACTGACTAAATACAAAAAGGTTTAACAAAACTGGACCATTATTTTTGGAATTGAATTCACATGACGCGAAAAACGTTTTTTCTTGTGACAGCCCACTTAACAAACGCGCTAAAACGTGGTTTACGCTGGAGATCTTTCCCCTGTAATTCGACTGAGCCTATACCACTATAGACGTGACTTGACCGTTACAGATAACTGAAGTATCTCAAAGGTTTGGCTTACTGTCTAATTGTGGCTGAATCGTTTCACCAGGCACCAGAATTCTAGCTGTTTTGCCGTCTCCTTCATCTTCAGCTAGCCAGCAGCGGCACGGAAAAATCACCGGATCCTCGTCTGCACAATGTACCTCAATTTCTTCCACAAATATTCCACAGCCACGCCCTTGACTGTCATTTCCTAGATAGACTTTGTTGATCTGCGGAAAGAGTAATATGAACGTAACACAGTGAATGGTTTGAACCAAAAGAGTACTCTCTTGATTGAACTAAGGGAATATTACACTCTGTTGTTTGAACCCAGGAGTCATTTCATAAGTAAGAGGAATATGATCGACGACCGGAACGTGTAGTCCTTGTTTAAAATGGTTGATGTCTCGACAACAAGTGCGCTAACCATCTTCAGAGTAAAAAAGGGAAACAATTTCTGCCATATCTGTGGAACACGGCGGTTACTATCGCAAGATAATGGATTATTTTCGAATCCGCCATAAAACACTCTGATTCCCCCCCCACCACCAGCGGCCGAAATTTGAGCAAGGTATTGCTTTCCTATTTTCGCGACTAGCTTAAGCTAATTACGGGCATAAAGCAATATCTTGTATAAGTTGAAATCAAAGTTGTGGTCTTGGGAATGTACGGTTCTCCCAGGAGCATTTAAAAACAATAGTTTACGCAAAATTAGGGGGGAGAACAGAATGTATCATGGGGGATTAGAAAATAAAGAGTCGGTTAAGGTCCAGTTTATCGTAGAAGCGCACTAAGCTCTGGTTATTAGAGTAAGAAACCTTCTTTTTGTGGTCCATTCTTATATATTTACGGAAACGACAAAAAAACTTTTTACGGCTTCTTCAGTAGTCCCCTTGGAGCTTCTCACATTTGAGACCCTTGTTCGGCATAAAACCTATAACCGTACCTTTCCAATGTCTTTGATGTTGACGGACACCCTGTACTGTTTTCCGGGCTCAAATGTAGTGCCATCTGAAGGAGTGAGGTATATTTTGCCAGATTCGCCCCTGTCACCGTACAGTATCATATACAGCTTAGCCTGCGGGTCCAACACCTCTCCTAGACGAAACAGAACTAAAAAAACAAGAACCTTTAGTCGTATTTGGTGTCTAAGAAGAGAGCGGTTTGATAGACAGTCCGAAAAGTGAGGGCAGGTAAGTGGTTTATGAGAATCGCAACTCGCTACTTCACATATGGGCAAAAAGTTTAGTTTAGTGGATCCCTTTTGAATAATCAATAGAGTAGAAGAAAGTGGAGGGGGGTGGGGTGGGTGGGGTGGAGCAGGAGTGGAGCAAGGGTGGCGCACTAGTGACAGCACTCGCACCTCAACAATGTGGCCCGCGTTCAAATCCCGGCGTGGACGCCATACGTGAGTTGAGTTTGCTGTATGTTCTCTTGTTGGATCCAAGAGGATTTTCCCCGCGGGATACTTTTTTGCCTCTCTCCTCAAAACTATCTTCTAATATGCACTCGACGAGCAAAGTGCGAATGGGACTGAAATTTCCAGGGATATTTTCCCCAACAGGACAAAATCTAAAGGAGTTTCAACGCAATCCATTTAACCGGAAATTCTGAAAATCAGGTAACAAAATCGAATGGAACGGAAATTTCCAGGAAGAAAACTTCAAGAATTTGGGTCAACCCCGCGAGGTTTTCGTTCTTCTTCGGAAATTATGGAAAACCTGAAAAATACTGTTCTATTAGCTAAATGGATTTTTGGAATACCAAACCGGAATAATTGGTTAAACCAGGTTTCTAACAACTTTCTCTAGTCACAAGGCAACATATGAAGCTTTTCACCCTAGCACCATCATGCATGGACGAGCTCCCGGAAACAGAGGGCGGGGTAGACCACGGAGATGTTGGGTAACCGACATCTGTGAATGGACACGGAGTACACCATCGCAGGCTATCAGGCTTGCTGAGAAGAGAGACTTGGGGGGTGTTTACATGAGAAAACTCGCACCGGCGCGAGTTTCATACCGGGATGACTTTTTTATTTCGCATCGCGTTTACATTATGACTGAGTCATTTCATATCTCGTTATTTGAAGGTACACTTCATGGTGATAAAATAAACGTAAGATTCAAAATCGCAAATATTACTCATGCGCTACCCGTTCCAGTCTACCAGCAGACCGATTTCTCACGGAAACGTATGGTCGTTTCGCCTTCACATGATACCGTTGCGAGACTTCATACCGGAGTGAAATTCTCGCCCCGGTACAACAACCGTGGTGAACTCACGCCGGGCTGACTCGCACTGGCATGACATTTTGAGGTGGTATCATGTAGACAAATGTAGAGCCACGAGAGGGAACCAGATCTTTGGCCTAAAAGAAGAAGAAGAAGATTTACTCACTGTCATAAGGAGGACTAACAGTCTCCCCAGGCTGCAAAACACGTGTAGATTTGCCATCGCCTTCATCTTCAGCCAACCAGCAACGGCAAGGAAAAACAACAGCTTCCTCACTCGGAGCTGCTACCTCGATTTCTTCTACAAAAACACCATGACCAGGTCCTCGGCTGTCATTTCCAATGCTGATTTTCTCCACCTGAAACAAGCGACAAAATTCTCAACGGTCAACGAGGCGTTTCGTCTTTTCTTCTGACAATAGATAGATTGTTTCATATAACGCGAGGAAAACGCGGCGTTAAGCCACTTCGTTGAAAAAGTATTTCGACACTTTTGAAAGTAATTAAGGGAAGGTTAAAGCCAAGTCAATGAGGCAGTCTCAGCAATCTGATGCGGGAAGCGCGAGGTAGGTTTGCAGGGGCATCGCCATGGGTTCCCGCTCAATTCCTTGCTTTGTGTCCATGCCTCCCTCCCACTTTTTGAGTAAGTATTCATTCCACACTAGTTTGTCGGTGTTGTATTGATAGAACGGGCCTGATTGGGCTGTGGCTCGGTTGCCATGGAGATCTCCTTGCCGCCAAGGAGATTGCTGCCCTCCTATGTCGCTACCTTTACAGCACCTACCCTCTGACACTACATACTAAGTGTTTTAAAGGATAAATAATTGATATACGTAGATGGTGGAAAATTTACTGCATAATCAGTGTCTTTGAATCTGTTTGCATACCGAAAATCTTCCGGCCAAAGTAATCCACAATGCTAGGATCTACGTGAAAGTTCGTGAGACCATTCAATACGCTTGGCTGAAGAAAAAAAACCGCTCGTTTATGAAACCTTTCACACTTGAGAAGGGTTCAATTATGCCGAAATGTGACGCAGTTCTAACTTTATGACAGGCGGACAAACAAAATCTATTGCGTGACCATCGAGTCTGCGGACCAAATCCTATGGCATATCCACCATTCATTTTTCAATTCGACCTTTCTCACTTTCGAGAGTCAAAGATTTAAAAACTACAAGAATGAAAAATACTAACAACCTACCGGTCCGATGTCCTTGATATTTGCGGACACAGTATACAGTCTTCCAGGCTCAAGCTTTTTGCCGTCAGATGGAGCGAGGTGTATTTTTCCAGATTCGCCTTTCTTACCATAAAGAATCATGTACAACTTAGCCCACGGGTCGTGTACCTCCCCAAGACGGAACGCGACTGTTGAACAAGCACAACAAAAGATTCCACTTTAAAGAAATTCCCAAGCAACAACGCCTTTGGATAGTTATAGATTTGAGAGCCCCAGAGATATATACCATTTCAGATGCGGCTTCACCTAATAAGGTATTACTTTAAAGTATATTTGCTTCTTTTCACTGTCACTTTCTGTTTGACATCACAGTCATTCTAATCTCTACGCCTGAGAAAGACTGACCAGCCACTGGTTTAGAGAACATCACAGAATGGTATCTTCTAGCATACCCAGTAAATGTCGAAATTAAAGCTCCCTGAGCCAGCAAGCCAAAATAAGAACGAAAAAACCCACGTCAGGTTTCAAGGAACAGGAGGAAATTTAGAAAACAAGCAAATAAAAAAAAACAATACAAACCAATGGGAAAACAGCAAACAACCAAAACAAGTAAAAATATTTCTTATCCTTGGGAGAATTTCATGCTCAGCAAAGATGAGCCAAAATTAAAAAAAAACAGATGGAAAAAAAAAAACCTTAAAAATTACACATGCACTCACTGTCATAAGGGTGTGTAAGCGACTCTCCAGGCACGATGACCCGAGAGGTTTTGCCATCATCCTCGTTTTCTGCGAGCCAGCAGCGGCAAGGGAATATAACTTTGGGAGCGTCAGGAGCAGTCACTTCGATTTCTTCAACAAAAACGCCTTTGTTGCGTCCCTTGCTATCATGTCCAATATGAACCTTTTGTACCTGTTAAAGTAATTATTGGAGGAAGCTGAGTATGATATGAAGAATTGTGCGGTTCTGGAAGGGTGTTGTATTAAATTCTGGAAGATGTTCTTCATATAGCAGTTGTCATTTGACAAGTGGTATTTCAGTTTATTTTTGCTATGTTTAGCCAGTAGTTCGCCAGTTCGTCTTAAGGTCTGCAATCTTCCGCCATTTTCTCCAGCTCTACACTGCCGTAACAGCTGGGCCACCCCGCCGTACGTCTTGACGTCAATCGTACTGATATCAGCAAACACAGGCTAGCTATGAGCAATAAGCTGGGGGATTTCGCGAATAAGGAACGATGAAACATTTTCAATCAGTCATAATATTACATATGCTATCTTATTTCCAAAACAGCGTGAGTTCACATCGGCTTATTCGAGGTCCATGACATTAAGACATTGAGCGATTTTTCAGGAAATTAACTATTGGGTATTCTTTGTTTGGTCTTTTCAATTAGGGTTGCATTAACCTGTTCCAGACTCTAATATACTTGTAGTATGGACAGCGAACGTGATGAAAGCGCTCCCTTTTCCAAAAACACTCGCATCTTATTCTCGGTTGACTTTGTTTCGCTGCATCCCTACCTCCTGACAGCCCAGAACAGGCTAGGACTGCATGGCTCACTTCGGAAAAGAGTGATAGTCTGGGACCCAAACTAGGCGCGCGTGCATTTATGGGATTATTTGGGGGGGGGGGACGCGAATGTAAACAAACATGGCGCAAAGCGGAGGGGAATGAAACAGCTCAAAATAGCAAAACGGAAGGTGGAATTGAAAGAAAAAACAAGAAAATGTGAAGCTGAGGGAAGAATATGTGCCTGGGGCAATTTTACCCCGACAAAAACCACAAGAATGCACCGTGAAACAGCTTCAGAGATGGCCTCTTAGCCATGAAGCCAAAACAACCGGAAAGAAAACGCAGCTGGATACCTCTTGCCTTTAGAATTCTATAAAATGCCAGACCAGGGGAGTTCCCGAAGATACTTGTGCAGAAAGGCACACAACAACTTGCATGTCTCGACATAATTCAAGGTGGCTGCTCGACTTGTCCCCCACAAACAATCCCATAAATAAGCGCGAGCTCAATTTACTAGGTCCCAGGCTATCACTCTTTTCGAAGTGGGCTATTTAAAGTACACGACTTACATTTCCAATGTCCTTGATGTTTACAGAAACTTTGTAGAACTTATCAGGTTCAAACTTTGATCCATCTGGTAACAGATAAATCCTGCCTGACTCTCCTTTATCACCGTACAGCATCATGTAAAGCTTGGTATTAGGGTCCAACACTTCTCCAAGACGAAACCCAACTGCGATTTAGACAAGAAGACACATTAATATGTCTCTCTTGGAATGCTGAAAGTGTCCGGGGCATAGGTGCAAATAAAACCAAGAAATCAGTTGCTTGTGTCAGCCAATTGATGTATGGAAGCGTTTGTAATATGCACAAATTAAGAAAGTCTGAGCAAAGCTAACCAAAATGACCAATTCGCAAAGAGGTTATAATTATATAAATTGCATCTGTCCACATGTAAATTTCTCCACTGAGTTGATTACCAACTTAATTTAAAAACACCATTTTAAACGCGTTCACAAACCGTTTGCAACTGTAAATGTTAAGATGACTTTGACATAGCGTGTTATCGAATAAGCGAACTTTACCCACACATTGTACTGCTTGTCTCGAATTGCACTATGGGACTACTAGGGGAACGAATTTGAACCCAAATTCCTACGCAACCTTACAAAACCCCTAAAAAAGAAGCTGGAGCCCCTTAAAACAGTCCCATGGTGCATTTAGTCAGTCCAGTCTCACGCGTGACCATTTAAAAAGGCTTACAGTCGAGGATAATTTCATTCATATAAACTATTTCTTTGAGTGACTCTAAGTGAGCAATAGCCTCCCACGCAGTTATTCTTTTGGCTCGTCACGCAATCCTCCCCAAGAAACGCGTAACGAAGCCCTAAGAACGTTTAAGTGGGATCCGGAGGCTACGTGAGCAATGGCGCTTTCACAGATCAGTTAATTTTAAGCATCATTTTGTGGTAGTTTTCCAGAGAAAATGGAAGTGAATGCTATCAAAATATCAGAATTACTATCTTCTAGTGTCCTTTTTTCACTGGGTCATTTGTAAGACTTTTTTGACGGCCAAAATTCTCGAGATAATCGCTCTAAAAATTAACTAGTCTGTACGTCGTTGCACCACCTGCTGGAAGTAAAAAATATCACTCAATGGGCACAAGGGGGCTGCTCGCTGCGCCCGGGTTATGCCAGGGCCCCTGAAGTGAGTCAATAGAGGATGAGATTTAACTTCAACTATTTTCATTGTACTTTTTCCACCAGTAAAGTTAGCAGGGTTATTTTATTGAAGGAGGTTATTCCCTCTTCCGATCGGAAAATGATAAAACTGCTAACATTTTGAGAACTTGCTCCCGTCACAAAGACATCGCTAAAACTCGCAGTAGAATGACGTTGACTATCGCGTTTTCCCGCCAAAATGACGCTGGTTCACGCGCGCGCACCACTTAGTATTGGGAAAATCTTGTTCTCGTCTTATAATCTAAAAGTCTCTAATAGTTGATGCCAGCGCAAAATTGCTCTTTGATAACAAACTAGATCACAACATCAGTTAAGTAGAATAAACTCTTACTGTCATATCGTGAGGTTAGTGATTCCCCTGGAACCAACACACGTGTAGTTTGACCATCATCTTCATCTTCTGCAAGCCAGCAACGACAGGGGAACACCACCGGGGGTCCCTTGGGGGCTGTGACTTCTACTTCCTCCACGAACACTCCGTGGTTGGGAGACAGTCCGTCCTGTCCCAGGCTGATATTACGAACCTTTAAAAATAAATGGAACAGAGTTGACACTTAGTTGAGTTGACATATTTTTAAAAGCTTGAATGATCATTCAATCACACTTGTACCACGTGTTACCAGAAACTCATACGAGGTTGAAACGTGTAACCCTCATGTGGTTGCTTTGTTCGATGCTCGCGATTATTCATTTTCGAAAGTACCATATTTTGAAGTAATGAATGAAATAAACGCGCCCGCTTAAAAAAAATGGAGACAAACGGGGACTCCTAGAAGGCAAAAGAGAATGTGTCCTCTGGATGACAGATGTATATGACAACATGATGTTTACATGTTAACGTTAAGCTCGGACGTCAGCATGCATACAAGGGCGCTTCAGTCTGGCAGCCGCTATCAGTCCATTTATGAGCTCACTGTAACCCACTCAGCCTGCGATATGCCATTGAATGATGTATGCAAGGTGGACCACATCACCGAGGAAACTTCCTCTACTCTTTTCGAAGAGTAGTGTGGGTTCTTTTACGTCACCTTCGATTTTACTAATGAAAGAAGAGTGAAGGAGACACGGGCAATGGCTCAACCTCACCACCCAATGCCGTTATCATCCTAAGAGACAATCCAGCATGATCTTACCAGTTATTTAAAGACCCCAGTTGTTAGTCCTGCCGGGATTTGAACCGGCGTCCTTCCGCTGGGCAGACCGGCGTTCTCCCAACTGAACTAATCGGGCGGTGGATAATACTATACTCGGTGACAATTACCATATTCAACCTGAGGAGGGTTGTCATTAAGGCTTTCTCTCAAGGAAAGTGGCCGCTCATTTATCCGACAAATCCTCCTATATTTATGTTTGAATCATTTTCAAACTTGGAGTAGCTGGCTGATTTTACTACAGTAGCTTGCTACTAATGACAGCCCTGACCTGGGTAGCCTGGGTCAAATACTTACATTTCCTACATCTGTAGTCTGTACAGTAACAGTATACATCTTCCCAGGTTCTAGCTTTCCTCCTTTAGGCGCGAGGTAAATCTTGTCAGTATCGCCCTTGTCGCCATGTATCACCATATACAGCTTGGTGTATGGATCCAGTACTTCTCCCAGTCTAAAAGACACTAACAATGGACAGGACATTTTGATATAAATGCACTAGATCTTGCCATAGGTGTTCTCTCCAATAACGAGCTCTAAAGTTTAAATTCGGCAAAGAAAATGACTTTCAAAGTGTTAAGAAAAAAAGATCGTTTCAGTAGAGAATTATATGTCACACTTCAATACCAAGCGAGGTGCGTTAGAAAAAGGCGCGTCCGAAGCTATGCAAGGTTTGTTTACAATGAAAGAAATAGGAATACGGCAGTGTTTGTAAATATTTCATTTTTGCACTTTCTCTTCAGCAGAAACCTCTTTTGATCTACTGAGAGCTCTCTGGAAAGATGCGGGTGAAGGGAGGTGGGAGGAGGAACCAAAAACGCGCGAAGAAGGATAAAAAGATGTTTGCACTTTCCATCCACCTTTGCGGACGTGTCAGTGAGCTTTACTCTAAAAGGGACTAATTTAGAAATTTTTTTGCCCTTTTATTCTAAGAGTGAACGAAATCCTATGGTGTGACTATTTAAATCAAACCACTTGGGTAGTACTTTCACCTGGTTCTACTAAATATTTTGCTGAATTTTGACTTAGGCCACTTGTGTCTGTACGTTCAACGACGCCTTCAGTATTAGGTTTATTGATATTTGTGTCAAGGGTTCAAATTAAAAAAAAGGGAGGATGCAAAGAAAATCATTTTTACAGCTTGCCATTTGGGCAAGGTCATTTACTAGTGGACGTCATTTCAACTAGCCCCCAAAACTTTTTGTTCTTCTGTTATTCAAACTGCTCATAAAACATCACTTGCCCGTCGGGCAAGTTAAAAACAGAATTCACTAGCCCGATAGCAAAATCCACTAGCCCCGGCCTATCGGACACTACTTTCTTTGCACGCTGAGGTCTATGCCCCTTGCACACCACAACGACTAATGAATACCTTGATATTCAGCCATTTCTGGTTCAGGCTCAGGCTCTGGCTCTGGAGGCGCTAAAATGTAACAAATAAAGATATGAGCAAAACGTCACGCTGATTTGCTCGGTAAAATGAACACCAACAACTTTAAAAGAAGATATCGTCTTGATAGGTCAGTTTCAAATTATCAAAAAAATTCATACTTGGCTCCTTGGCTGAGTGCAATAAAACAAGAGAAACGAATTATTAATCCTTGAAGCTCAATGCAATTTTTTTTTTGTTTTATTCCCTTTAAGAGCTCCTGTTCACACTAAACCGAACGGAATAGCTCTTGCGTATGCACGAAAACCATACCGGATAGGGCTTCTGTTCAAACATAAGAACGGTGATTTTGGCGCGATTTCTGTATCGGGGCGAGGCTGCGCCGCGCCGATCTCTAAAGTGGAGAGTCACATATCGGAGAGGTTCTGTGCAACACTTTGGTGCAGTTTGAACTTGTATTTGTACCATAGAGGTGAATAAGCGGGAGTGAGGACTGGAATCCACTGAGACGGAAGTAAACATTGAGGAGTGAGGTCTGGGGTTTAGTTCACCAAATCCTCTCGGCCAACCCGACCAACCCGACCAGCACTTAAGACCAGCACGATGTTCGATGATTTGTTCGATGTGCGTGAACGACTTCCAGTCTGTCCAGTTGCTGTTCATACCATACCGGACAGGTTATAGTGTGAACATAACCTCAGGCTTGAGGGAGCCAAGTATGAATAAATTCGAAACAGTCCTGTTGCTTTCGAAGTGGATTTACCAGCGTGCAAGTGTTCCTAACGCAGCCAGCAGTGATTAAATCTAACACTTACCAGCTGAGTCTAAAGTCTGTTCTACAATGGTGACATTGTCTTCTTGGACCACATCCTGGTCAACTAATCATCACAAAACAAACAAGAGTAAACATTTGAACACAAACTTATCATAAAAAAGCTTAGCTTGGTACTGTACTAGTTATCACGTGTTTGTTTGATATCATTTAGAGGAATCAATGCAGCTTCAGTTTCCAAGCAAAAATGGCAATGAAGGAAATAAATCGCTCCATAAAAGGTCTTTTAGGAGCTGTTTGCCTTCTTGAATATTCCCGGGGGTTTCAGTATTGCGATCTGGTCAGATTTTAAAGGAAGGGTTTTTCGATTTGTTTTCATTTTTAAAATTTGCGGTTTATCGGTCTTAATAGCTTACTCAGCGACTGCGATTTTTCTCGTGGACCATTTGAAAGTTATGGGGAGGGCGCCGGCGAAGTGCAAGAAAATATTAATGTAAGGGAACGTTAACTGAAGAAATGCGGAGAATGTTAACGAAAATATCTTACCAGCTCAAAAATTCCCCACCCCGGCCATAACTTTATTAACGGTTCGCCCATTAGTTCTTGCCAGCTAGAGTTGGAAATGGTTAAATTGACCTTTCTCGGATGTTTAAGACTGCGGCCGGCTAAATTAACATTGGGTTTCGCGCTTTTGGCCTATTTTTTTTTCCCTTTCTTTCTTTTTACAGTTTATAGGTAGACTTCCATGTCATCGTTTTCTATAATTTTCGGATTTCTTCATATAATATCATTTCTCGTGAACACTAGGTCTTGGTATTGTCCGTCCATTTTAGGCAGTAGAATATACTGTCTTACCAGGATAAACTTCCACTTCCACTCGCCTCTCTTCATCCCCAGTAAGCCAACGGTTACACGGGAAAAAATACTTTTCATCGCGGGAAGGGATCTCTATTTTTAAGGACTCTAGATACCACTCGGGATTTGGACCACTGTTGTCATGGCTCAGACGAATTCTCTCCACCTAACAGGATCAATAACAACAAAGACTTAAGATACGTTTCGTTTATCACAGAAACAGGTGGGAACACTCGGTTTATACGGTGCAGGACCCGAGTATGGTTGCACTTTAGTAAAGGCAAAAATATTATATATAAATGTGTACGTCAGGGTGCAAAGAAAATCATTTTTACAGCTTGCCATTCGGGCAAGCTGAAGCTAGCATTTACTAGCCCAGACGTCATTTCAACTAGCTCCAAAAACGTTTTGTTCTTCTGTTATTCAAACTCCTCATAAAACATCACTTGCCCGTCGGGCAAGTTAAAAACAGAATTCACTAGCCCGATAGCAAAATCCACTAGCCCCGGGCTATCGGACACTACTTTCTTTGCACGCTGTACGTAGAGTGAGTATCCCAGGTCAAATTCTCTGGTCAGCAGTTGGAGAGTAAATAGGTATGCGAGTCGTCCGTGCCTACTATAATTACTGTAAATGATTCAAGGTAATTGGGCTTCCTTGTCTTTCTTATCCCCCATAAGCCAATTATTTTAGAAAGAAAATAACCTTTTCATTGTTTATTTCACGACACGGAAATTTCATTGTTGTTGTTGTTTTTTTTTTTTTTGCTGTCATGGGTATAATAATAGAGTTTTGTTGTTGTCTCGGTGAGATAATCACGACCACATTCAAGTATTTAATAGGAAATGTAATACTACGTAGATCTTCATTTTCATCAATTACTTCACGTTATCATTATCAGGGATAATACCTTGAAATTATGGGTACATGCAAATACATGGTGTTCTTATCTCTACTAGCACATTTTCTACAATTTAATTTTGTTTAACTTGTTAGATAATTGGCCTTTTAAAAAAACTAAACACGTTGACTATTCAATAAACCTGTTTTTGATTGGATCTCCACATACTCTGACAAAAGGGATATACATGTTTAATGATTCACTCACTTTGCCCACATCCATTGTTTGTACAGTAAATCTATCAGTACGCCCACGGTCAAATCTTTTCAGGGTTTTGCCAGATTCTTGCCGCAACATAATCTTTTCAGTTTGACCTTTGTCTCCAAACAACTGTAGCGTAACATTAGCATCAGTTCCAGCGTACGGCATATCTCCAGTTTTGAATGTTAAGCTATACGCAGCATCTGCAAAAAAATAAGGATAGAGATTAGATTTATTTATGGTATCGGTGTTACAACAATACAAGGGAAAATACTTTTCACTAGTGATAACAACAGCACCTTCCACAAAAACACAGTGAAAGCTAAACCTTGTACAGCTTATGGGGCCGTGTTCTACAATGTTGAAAAATTATTATATAACAATACTTTTACAACTGTTACAACGCCAATTAAAACATAAATCCCTGTATCCAGATTATAATTCCCAAAACTGCAAATAATTTTACTTCCCTGAAAGCGCATATGTCCTGCTAAGGCACAACTTTTGTCCCACGACACAAAAAAATTTTGGTCCCTGGATTCGCAGGTAATTTGATTAACATATAAAATGCAACGTCATTTATACGAGGAAAAATAAGACGCGTCTTACATAAGACGGTAAGACGCGCGTATAAACGGATTTCGTCTAAAATAAGACGCGGCTTAGTAAGACGCGTTTGATTAAATGGTACAGTTCGCGTCTCATTTGAGATATTGTAAGAGTTCACTGCAACAATGTTCTTTGTTGGTACAACAATTCTATGTGCTCAACGTAGATTTTATTCACCTGCTCCTGCACTAGGCTTAAGGTTTTCGAAAAACGCTGAAGAACGAAGAACTTTTAAAAAGAAGTACCAGTGGATAGTGAGACACGATTTTCATTGGAGTTTACCATAATTTTAAACATTTTTTTGCCTTTATCTCGGGTCTGTTTACCGAAATCGCTCTCATTTTGATATGCCTGGAGTGGGAAGATGTCTTTGAGCGGCACAAGTTGTGCATCGTCTTTAAATTCCATTTTTTAGCATTAAAACGTTTGGCACAGTGTTATTGAAGCGGTACAAGGACCGTGGCCCCAAACGTACAGCAGAAAGCTGCACAAATTTCGCAATTCAGCAAGGCAGTGCCAGGACATGAAACAGGTAAATGTTTGTCCAAAACACATACTTTCTGGTCTTTTGACAGCTTTCCCAGGCAGTAATTCTCTCTCTGTCTTGCTGTCCCACACGTCCTCTGCTAGCCAACAGGCACATGGGAAATTTACGGGGTCACTATCTGTTGGAGCTATTCTGACATTGTCCACAAACAAGCCTTTTCCATAACCCCGGCTGTCTTGTCCAAGGCGGATTTTTTCGATCTACCAAAAAAAAAAAAAAAAAAACATTTTTAAAGAACAAAAATCAAAGAATTTAACATTAAGTGATCGATTTAGGAGGCATTTCCGGGCAAGGAGGTAAGAATCCCCTCAGGGCTTTTCAGGGATAATCAACAACGCTGCTTGGGGCACAGTTTACAATAAATGAAGTTATTATACATTGCAGTCACCATCTGTCTTCTGATTGGCTAAAAGCCTACAGTTAATTCTGGGAAACAGCGCAACCTATAGATTATTCACTAATCTATACCTACAGATTAGTGAATAATCTGTAGGTTGCGCTCAATGCATGATTTCCAAGAACAATGTCAAGTGCACGGACAGCAATGTCAAGTTCACGGACAGCGAAGTAAAAATGGCTTCTCGATTCGCTTCATCGACCCAGCAAGAAATTGAGAAATTACTTGAAGATAAAGTATAATAAAACAATTATTAGATTCGGTTTTTGTGATATCCGGAATAATCAAGGTCTCGGTTAGTGTTATCAGCCTCAGCCTTCGGCTTCGGCTGATAACACTTACCTCGACCTTGATTATTCCGGATATCACAAAAACCTCTTCCAATAATTGTTTATAATTATTTAGGAATGCAGCCTAATGTAAATGTGAACCGGAATAGACAGTAGGGGTGGTCAAAGTCAGAGATTTGTTACCAATTTAATAGCTCTGTTACATTCCACAGATTCAGATTACCAGTTGGTGAAAGTGTTGCGAGGTGACACTTACAGTTTTTTCATCCTAATCTAAGAAAACTAGAACGCCATCTAAACATTTGCAGGGGTCAAAGCAAAGGCAACTATTTCTCCTCAGTAATTTTAAGACCATGAGTGTTGGTCTGGCCAGGAATTGAATCCTACCTACCGCTCTACAGTATGGTACCCAATAGAGAGAAGTCGTTACGTCATGTTGCCATGGTAGCAAAATTTTTGAATGACAACAAACCAAAACGTCACTTAAATAGTGTATTCGCACGTTTTCAAAATTCATTGATCTTATTCAATTCCTTTAATTTGTCAAATGTTGGCGAAACTTTCTGGGTTTAATCCGAAAGGACAGTATGTAAGTTTAGAAAAAGAAAAACAAAATTTTTGTGTTGTGCTCACCTACTCCATAAAGCGGGAGCATGAAAGTAGGAAGTTTCAAGTCGTGATCGTGCAACAACGGCTAAGAAATGTACAAAAAAGCGTGATTTTTTTTTGCCAATCTAAAACACATTACTACTGTTTTTTTGCTGTTTACCGTCACTGTTGCAAAACTCATCCAGAAATTTTGCTACCATGGTAACGTGACATCACACTTCTGCTCTCTATTGAGCTAACAATGGCAGTGGAATAGGCTTCTGACCAACATAAAGATTTACAGTTAAGTTCCTTGACATTGTACACATCTGATGAATTATGCTTATCTCACCCTTCCTATGTCAACAGTCAGAGCCAATGTGAATTTATAAGTTTTCTCTCTTTCCAGTGGTTCCTCAGGCCTCAGGAACACCTTGCTTGTCTCTCCTTTACGTCCAATCAGATAGATGTATAGCGTTGCTTCGGGGTTTAACACTTCACCAAGACTTACCGACACGGTGTGGGTAATGTCTGAGTCTACATGAGAAAATAAATTTGCACAAAACAATTGGCAAACAACAGCTAACATTAGTTGCCTACCTTCACTAACCAGGGATCTAACAATATCCTGTCCAGTTGTTCAACACAAGTAGAATCTCTTGCTGGGGAAGTACATTACTTTTAACTGTACTTGTAACATCAAAAGCTCACTAGCCCAGTGGGCAAGGGTGAAGGTAAGCCATCCTCTAACTAAATCATTAACAACCTCAAGCAAGAAGGGGCACTTGGCAAGCAAAATGTGACAGCAGCTTGCCCAAAGGACAAGCTGGAATACATTTTTTTTTGGAGCCTTTTGAGGCTGTGCTCTACATGTAGCAAGGCCTGGTGGCTCCTGCCGGCTTACTTTTGCCCCTGGGAAACTAGAAGTCTTGAGTGCTTTCCATTCAACCCCAAATTCCAGAAATTCTGGTTGTTACGTCATAGAGTGGACCATTTCGATTTGGTCTGACCAGAATATTTGGGACCAGCTTTGAAGGTGGTCCTCTTTGACTGGTCTGGTCATTAATGTTCCTTCCCATTGAGAAAATTGTCATCCCCAGTACCGCTCTTTTGAATCCTGGGAAGAACAATAACCAAATGCACAGTGGCTTGGGTCTGGTCTGTACAACCCAAATGTATCATTTCATAGAGCATGTGGAATTTCCGAAATTTCAAACTGGAATTTTTGTTGAATGGAAAGCACCCCTTTGCTTATATAGAAATACTATGCTGGGCACCGTGTATTTCACAGGTTCAGAGCTCTGAACTCCCAGACATCCTTGAAGCCAGACACTGGAGCTAAAGATTTGGGTTTAAGTGGTTTCAAGTTCTGCCAGGGGCGCAAGGCTCCACTTATATGTAGAATCAAGTACATGAAGTACCAGTATGTGTGGATCCTGTGCGAGTATCCTTCATTTGCATGTTAATACAGAAACTGAGAGGGCCATAAATAGTATCTATATCAATTGGAACCCGGATTAAGTGGGGGTAAGTAAGTAAGTAAGTAAGTAAGTAAGTAAGTAAGAGACTTTATTTTATGAGGGTGACACGTAACAGTAACTAAACATTACTGATCAACTTGTGGCCCTCTAAAAATATAAAAATACACTTTATAAAAACTACTCAATAAATTATTATATACAATAAAAAATTCCTAGAATTCAATAAAAATAGAGAAAAATGGCGAGAAGATAAAAATAAAAAATATTCAAAAGTGCAGCGAACGAGTGAGATAAGAGCAAACAATATCCATCTATTGTAAACATTAATTTGATGATTTTCAAACGACCATCCAAGATTTGACAAATTGGAAGAATTCAAAACTATTTTCCATAATTCAGCCTTACCAAGATGTTTTATGATCCTTGAATTTTACAATTTAAGAGACAAACCTGATGTCAGTGAAATTAAATTTAGAGTAAAAAAAGTATTTTTACGTGTGTTCAGATACCACATTTTCTTTCCTAAAACACTGGGACAAAACGAAGAGCAAACAATATCCATCTATTGTCGTAATAATGGGGTGACATAATTCAGCCTTAAAGGATTTCAAAGACCTCCTTGTTTTTAGTGATCGGGGTAAATTTAGAGAAAAAGTAAGGGCTTTCTTTCCTAAGGGACAAGGCAAACTGTCCGTAATAATGGGGTGACTGTGTAGAGAGGGTGTGCAAAATCAGGGGTTTGACTGTATTGAGTGCAGCTTTAACTAAAAATAGGTACCTGATGAGTGTGGGGATCCTGCGCTAGGATAAATTTCTCTTTCAATTTTTCCATCACTGAAGTCTTCAGCCAACCAACAAGAGCATGGAAAAAACATAGGCTCCTCATCATCTGGAATGACTTCAATTTCATCCAGGAAAATTCCTTTACCTTTTCCATGGCTATCATGACCTACACGAATTCTTTCCACCTGATAGTCACAAAAAAATCAATGTTATTTTAAAAACTCTGACTTTTAACTAGATAATAGGCATATAAATAAATGGCCAAAACCATAATTCTGGGCATCATAATTTAGAAAAATTGTACACCTGTACAGCATTGCCATAATTATTAAAGTTTTACCAGCCACTTAAGTTTTTGTTATTAATTCATTACATCTGCTGCAACACTATTTGTGAAAACCTGTTGGTTTTTGCACTGACAATGGGAGGAAGCCATGCTGCTGTCAGTATTTTGCTATTTTATTTATTTTTGCCTTCGTAGCTGTCACAGTTTCAACAGCATACTTCAGTCATTTGTTGCCATTTCATCGGTCTCATTCTGCTGTTTCAAGGCCATGCCACTTGTTGGAATTATATCCTAACAGGTACTCATTGAAGATTACCTTTCCTATGTCTGGCATCTCTACAGAAAATTTGTATGTCTTTCCCTCTTGAAATGAATCTGTGCCGGTACCAGTGGGGCGGAGAACTATCTTGGTGCTTTCTTCATTTTCTCCACACAGTTGAAGATATAGCTTGATGTGTGGATCCAGGACCTTGCCCAGATGAACAGAAACAGTGTACCCTTTGTCTTAAACAAAAGTTAATTTTAAAAACATAAGATGAAAATTAAAATTTTGAGAATTTTTTTAAAGGTTGATTTCTATTTACAGACTAAAGCAATCTGGAATAAGTGATGCAGAAACACTGGCAAAACTTGAAATAATTCCACTGATTTAAAAATACATACATACAAATACTATAAATTCTACAGCTTAGAGAGAACAAAATTATGGTAAATGGAAATGACAGAAAAGAAAATAAGCTATAACTCACACAACTTGCCAACTAAATCAAAGACAGACTTTTCCTTCCCCCTATTTTTACACACCAGAAAAATGATCTGAAAAATGATCTTACTTGGCTTAGAAGTTGATGCATTTAAATCTTTAACTGTCATTTCAGAAGACACATCCTGAGCTAGCCAGCAGTTGCAAGGAAATGTGTAATGGCTGCCATTTGATGGAACATCAATTTCAACTTCTTTCACATGAAATCCTGTCCCATACTCCATGTGGTCATGGCTGAGCTTGATTCTCTCCACCTTGATTTAAATTTTAAAGAAGAAAGTATTTTATCAGATGTACTGTAATTTCAGTCTATTGGTTTGCCACCATAACCACATACAAAACAAGACGTTCTAAGAATTTAACCCCAATAGTAACCAACAGCAATTTTCTCCTAACAATGTCCATACAATGTCAAGAGATAAGGTTGTGAGAATATAAAAAATGATCATGAAAGAGAAAATTCCTTGGTGTTTTATTAAATTCTCTCCACTAATTCTTAAAGGAAATGTATGGAGATCAGTTTGGAGAATTTGTATGTGGATACTGGGGCTTAAAGGGTTAAAAGCTAATGGTGAGGAAGCCCAAGCCAAATCACCAGGCTTATATCTTTGTCTTTGTAAGTGCATGTATAATATATTTATTATTAACTGTAGTGAACATTATAGTATACAGTTCTGTAATAATTCCGAAAATACCTTTCCAACATCACTCGTGGCCACCATAAACTTGTATTCTTGACTGCTTTCAAACAAATTTTTATTATCTCCTGCTTGTCTTAATTGTATTTTTGCAGTGTTTCCTTTAGATCCAAACAACTGAATATAGACATTTCCATCTGCTCCTTTTCCCTTCACCTCACCAAGTTTCATTTTAATGTTGTATGTCACTGAAAAAGCATAATAAATATAGATGACAGGAATCTTAATTACTGATATGAGTACATGTATCAAGAACATTTACACTACAATTTATTCAATAGGTCTTTTCCAAAATCCAAAACCCTCACTTCAATCAACGTCAGGAAAAGTATTTACAACATCGGTGCCCCTTACCACAAGTTGACAAAAAATGGTAATGAAGAAAAATTTCAAAAAGGTACAGATGTTTGTGTTTATTGTATTAACAAAACAATGCTTGGAGATTAAGAGTATCATTAGAGTAACTGTTACATTAACTTACAAACACACAGATGTATTCCTTCTCTGCTCTGCAAGTTTCACTACCTAGGAATTACTGTCAGCACAAAGAAGCAGTGGTGGGGAGTACATCTGTGTTGTGGGCTAGATTGTGATTCTAAGGTCAATAGTTAACAGGGTGCACCAGAAATTTTCTTATCCACTTGTCCTTTGGACAAGCACTATATTAAATTTGGTTGTCCGAAACCCAAGGGTTCTTGTCCAAAAAGTTTTGCTCAAAACTCAAAAACAATCGGGCATATATTTTACTGCTTATTATCTCATAATCAGCCTTTTTGCAGGTAAGTTAACAGGCCCGGTTACTAAGACCAGGTTTCTAAGCCAAATGGAGCTCGTAAAAAAACAAATGATTGAAATGGCTGTAGAATGGCGAAGTTTTAAAGGAATATTTAACCTTATTTTGACAAGCATGAGATTTGCTTTTATAACTATAAGATAAATTTTAATTCTACTGTAATTTGAAGTCAACTTTCATCTGTTTCTGCATTTTTTCTAATTAAAAATGTGCTTGTCCCACAGGCAAGTTATGTCAAAGGTTTACTTGTCCAAACTGTATTTCTACCTGTCTCGGACGATCGGACATAGGTTTTGGCGCACCCTGTAGTTAGATATGACGTACGAGTCTGTAATGTGCCAAATTGATCTATACTTGTAAATAGCACTATGTTAATAGAAAAAATAAAGTATTATTATTTATAAATTATCATTGTCATTAATGTGCATACCATTCCCATCAGGGATGTCTGATCTTGGTCCATCTGATGGCGCCCGTTGCCTCACTAATGATGATGTGCGAGGAAGAGTTGATGGTTTTGTTGGAGCAGATGCTGTTGTGGAAGAACTACTTGCCTGAACTGCAAAACAATAAAGCTTGTACTCTTTGAACAGGTTTTTACAACATGACAAAAGTCTTATCTTGTCTGGTTGTTAATTGATGGGCTAAATGAAATTTTGTCACAGTTATGCATTATTGCGGTCAGCAGCAGTTCTTAGCTCCACTCGTCTCTCCAGCACCACCCCCAACAGCCATCTTTGTTGATGAGTTTAAATCTTAATGAACCTTAGTACTGGTAGGTGGCAAATATAACACTGGGAGTGGTAAAAGTGGCAGTCACTAACTCTTTTTAACTGGGCTTTCAATATAATCCATGGGCTTGACTCTACAACAACTGTTTGTAAGGGGCCTTAGTTACCTGGACTTTCGCCTCTGTTAGAAACTTTACTTCCCGTTGAAAAGGATGAGGATCGTATTGGCATTGTTAAACTGGAAATCTTTGTTCCACTGCCAGTTGAACTAACTGACGCACCACTTGATCTTCTTCCTGTACTGCCAGTGCTGTATGTACGTTGCAAGGAACCTGTTTCACCAGAATCAGAATCCCGCTTTTTATATGGAAATCTGTCATCCATGTTATCAGAACCCGAGTCTCCATTTACCATATAAATTGTTCGTTTACTATAAGATCTCTCCTGTGTTGAGTCTGCGCCATTTGTGATTGACCCATTGACATATGGGCCTGGATCATTAGAGCTATCTGAGTAATGCCGCTCAGTCCTTGTGTGACTCATTTCTTCACTTATCGTACGAACTTGACGCACTTCTCGTCTTGTGAATGATTCACTTCTTGCAGTCTCCCACTGCATTTTTACAGAGCCTGTAAGAAGCTGCGGAGATAATAAAGACCAGAACATTTTAAGCCTGAGAAAAAAAGCTGACATTTCGTGATGCCACCACTGGTTTCCCCGTCAAATGATGTCTGAGGAATGATCACAACAATTCCACACCGATGACGTGTCACTACACAGATCTGGATTACATGTAAGAGTTTCTCATTAGCTGAAGCAAATTTCTCACATGACCCAGTGTTGGTGTTGAAAAGTGTTGGTGGTTTTCTCAGGCTGCAATATTTTTAATGACTATAAGCAAAATACACTTTTTAGCTACCAAAAACAGGTATATTTTAACAGTGGTCGGGTCTGGGGGGAGGTTACAGGAGGTACTTATTCCCCCTGAGATGACCTGTGGCATTCTAATACAACTTGTAACAAACTACAGTATGTGGTTCATTGGTGTCAAAATAAAACATGATCATATGAGACAAGGCTGAAGAATTTATGTTAAAAACCATAAAAACGTTTTTTTGGCACGTCATGTCACCAGTCAGTTCCGTCACTCGTTAGTGGTGCACCCCCTCATAAGAAAAATCCTGGATCCTCCCTCTCTCCCGTCTGTTTTACAGAAAATAAGGAAAAACATTTCATTTATACTTGTGTTCACTTGATACAAGGTGTCTGCTTTTAAAATATGAAGTCATCTCAATCCTGAGCTTTCACAGGAGATTATAGGTCTAGCCCTTTTTAGTCATTAAGATAAAAGTTATAGTGAGGGAATTGAGTACCAGAAAAATGCTTTGAAGAAGTAATTAGGGGGGGGGGTGAGGACTTTAGAATTTGGAAATATTTTGAATGAATAATAAAACAATGAACTATTGAATTGGCTTTTATATGTTATAAAGAGTTTAAATGCAGATCTTGGAGGTTTTTTTCACCTTGGATGATAATACCCTCCTTGACCTGCATAATTCTTCATATCATCCTCAGCCTCATTCGATAATTCTTAATTGTTCCACATAATCAGTAAAAATGCTTTCTTCATTAAAAAAACTGTTGCGTAAAAATAGCTAGAATATAATACATAATAGCACGATTTTTGGCTCATCTCTGAGTAATATGATTTATTACTTACAACTGACGAAAAACAAAGAAAACAACAAACCTAACCCATAGTAAAACAAGGAGAACGGATAAATTATATTTCACCGGGGATGACCCTGAGTTTTTGGACGTGGTTACCGTAAATAATGCAACTTTTCAAACTAACTGTTAAGTTGTCAAGACGTTTACTGAAAAATAGAACAGTCCTTTGTCATGTTGACTATATGGAAAGGCAAAATAAAGACGAAGGTCACGACATCTTGCGCTCGATTACATTCAAGAGTCTGTTCATCATCACGTGCAAGATACAAATGCTAACCTAACTAATAAATCTTTGAAAATAAAATGGAAAAGCTTCTCTTGAACTAATCGGGATGTGCTGCAAAAAATAAAGAGCTTAATGTAATTACAGAACTTAATAAGACACGGCTTCAATAATACATTGCACAAACGTACGCTACCACACAAACTTCAGTAGTTTTGATGTTGAGCTAATAAATGCTTACTTTGAGGACCTAGAGAAAAAAACTTTAAATCATTATAATTTAAAGCCAATTTAGACTTAAATTCATTAAGTCCACCGTGATAAGAAGTTATAATCCTAAAGTCTTTTGGAAACGTAATCCTCGGTTTATCCTTTTGAAAACATCTCGCAGTGAATTAAGGAGACAAGAAAGTTAAGTCTGGAGGGTGGCTAAAAATATATTACAGATGCCTTCGCGTACACTTGCTTAGTTTTTTGTTTTGTTTCTGTCTTCTGATATTGAAATGGTTTCTTCGCTTCAGGGAACGGCTGTTGAATTTATATTACGCTTAAGTTTACTTCTGTAATATAAGCACAAAGGGTTGAAATGGCTTGGCAATTGTTTACAAACGTTCCTTGTGAAATTGTTCAAAAGAAACGAGCGTTCTAGAACCAAAAACGGATAAAATAAAGCAAATGGAACAAATATAGCTCAATGAAATAACAAAATGCATTGATTGGGCATGAAAAATTACCTTTTTCGAGTACCAGGGTTGTGATTTGCCTGACAGAAACTCGTTTCTCCCGCCGAAGTCTGAATCGTGCCCACAGAGTTTTCAGATTACATAAACGTTCTGTCGTTAAGCAAACCTCTTGACTTTCTTGACAGCTTTCGCATATCGAGTTACGGGACTGATCGAATTGTGAACTTGAAAAGCCGCCAAGCATCGGTGGTATATTCGACTGTTACAATACCAGCCACTGTTTATTTTGAAAGTGGCATCCAATATATTTCGTTCGCCATATTGATAACGGGCGAAAGGGCGAGGTTACAGGGCAACAATTCACACATCGATTATCACGGGGGAGGGGCAAATTTCAATTGTTTGTTGCAGTCTAGGAGGATAATTTATACAAAATTAAAGAAATAAACAAGACTCTGCAGTAGAACAACACATGCAATGACCTCAGCTCTGGAGGAGAGAGAGTATGAAGGAGCCAAAAGATGGTTTTAAAAATGGGCGTAAAATTACCAGCCGGGCAAAATAACATCTATCTTATCACACTCAGCAAGCCCCTGAAGGGCGAAACTGGCAAGAACTCAAGTATACCAAAAGTCTGCAACTCTTTCAGCGCGCTGTGGATTTAATTCAATAAGGCCACCCGCAAAAAATAATCACTGACATATACCGCAGAAGTCATTTGATTGGTTCAGTAAAAATTGGAACGGAAACATTCTAGATAATTCTTCTATCCACGAGATTTCAAACTTCTGTGATCCGACTACTGTTGTCAGGTCTTCGTTTCTGGATTAATAGCACAAGAAACCATTTTTTTTTTTCTCAGAAAATAGTAGTTATGCTTCACCCAGTCACTTAGGACTGTTTCTAATGAAAGCGCGTATTAAAAGCTAAAAATATCCATTCATTAAAATAGCTGCCTATGAAATCTGAGTTTTTTATGGGTTACCTCGTGGGTCGGCATCCTTGTAGTTCTCCCGATCTCCGATGAGTCAATGTCTTATAACGCAGAATTATATAAACATATAGCTGAAGAGTTAGTCAGCGTTTTACATAGTCATACATGAGTCAGGTGTAACCTGGGGCACTTGACGATTTCTGCCCAAGGCCGCCTGAGTCGCAAACAGAATAAGACCGGTTCCCACGCTTTCTCATCCGGTCGGAGAGACATCACAACCGAATTATTCTAAAACAATACCTTGTTTTGTAATTCCGGCTTAAGCTCGTAGTTCCTTGAGAATGGGTCATTGCTCTTTTGATTTTTTACTTTATTCTTTGTTCCATCTGATTGTGGGAAAACTTCACGCTTCATTACCACTAAACAATTAATCAAAACGGGACTCGGTATTAAAAACAGTGCATTTTGGTGCAGAGGCAGCTGTGCCGGTCGATTATGACTGGCCAAATGAAAACAACTTCTCAAAGCTTTGTTTTACCTTACACACGATGACAATTTATTGTATTCTTTAAATTATTGTTGCTCATCTCATCTCGAAATCAAGGTCAATCAAAGCCTCGGGACAAAAAACTAGTCAGAAACTGATTTCACTGTAACAAATTTCACAATCGGGTTAAGGTTGCTGGCTTTTGAACTCGGTTAAATTTTGTGAGGCGCACAAATGCAGGATGCAACAATTTGTAAAAGCCTGTATCAACTCAAACTGACAACCACAAAGTAAAAAAAGAATGCTGAACAAAGGTACAAAGGTTTCCTAAGTACTAACAATTGTCGAGTGCTGACGAGACATTTGAATGGCTGTACAACAATCAAGTTCTAAATTGTTACTGATCAGAATACAGTCTCGACTTTTGCGTTTGCTTTGAAACACCGAGCAAAACTCGAGATCTTTTTTAGCCCGCTTACAAACTGCATAAGGCAAGCAAACATACAGCTTGCTCCTTTTTTTGCGGCGTAAATCACATTTTTTTCTATGCATGCAGCGCTGAGAAACGCCGGTAGAACTCAAACCGTCTTAACGTACGCGTCGTTTTCCGCCAGCATCGCCTAGTTTTCAGAAAACTTATTGAGATGACAAACTCAGTCAGGCAATCTCTTACCTTAATTTAAGCAATTTCGACCTTCCAAGGCTACGATTTAAGGGACCTTCTTACGGAATTTTGTCTTCATGGAATTTTCGTTGCCGTGGGAGTTTTAAATCACACAATGTTTGACGCTACGGTTGTAATACATTTTTTATGAGCCGGATTTGCTGCAGCACGCTTGCTGTGAACAACTGGTAGCTTTAATTTGTGCAGTATAACCCAAAAAATTTCATAACATTTTAAACAAAATAACGTCATTAGGACTAAATAAAAGGTTTGTTAATGGCGGAGAAAACAGACAAATGTTGACTTTATGGGAAAAACAATACTTGAAAAGGCACCGGTGCAAAATGCTAATGTTGGTAAAATCAGCGAGGGGTACCTAATTAGCAGACATTTGCCTTAGACAATTCGCGGTCTGTACAAAAACTGCCAGTTCTATTTGAGTTTGAATTTGAATTTGTCTGAAAAGGTTTTTAAAACCTAATTGGATAACTTCATCACAACGCTTCTGCCTCGCTGCAAGACCAACTGACAAGTGCCTCTTTTTTGTGAGTTGTCTCCATACATAGTCAGGTATCTTAACGGGTCTGTAATTGGTAGAGATATCTCCTTGTTATAAAGCCACAAGACACAACAAATCGCTTGCTAAAAAACGGAGCTGTAAATATTTAATCGACTTTCCATGAAAATTCAACAATTCGTAGTTGAAATTATTACGGAGCTGAGATTTAAAATGAAATTGTTTCTTAATTATGATTATGCAACAGATCGAATCGATTAATATTTAGAAATATATATATATCATGCTTAAACAATATATCTGATGTAGACACGCTTAAGACGGACGGTATATATTCACCAGCATGAACTAAGTAGAATAACTACTATGTAACAAGAATCGAAAAATTTGCTTGGACGAAATTTGTCATCTTATTCCTAAGAAAACTAATTTAAATAGTAGAAAAAAATATGTAGCACTCTGACAGCAGTTAATCTAGTAGATATTCGTATTACTGCCGAAACTCTCCCGTTTCTCGAGTAACTTATACACCGGCGCACACTCTTTAGTCGAATTAAAGAAATGCACTGAGAACTGGCCGTATTATACAGAGGTGAATTATAGATAATAGTAACAAGACTATTGTTAGAGGAGTCTAATTTGTTCCTACAAATGAGTACTCTAACACAAAAAGTCGGACGATCAATCAATACTGAAGCAAACTTTGAGAGTAAACTAAACACAAGATGTCCCCAGAGTATCATTGGCCTTAGCATACAGCACTGGCTTTCCAACTGAAAAACAAAATAAATAAATAGTAAAATATTAAGAGTAACTTTCCAATTACAGTGCCAGTGATGTCGCGTACTGTCCAAAATCGGACTAATCAGACGACCTTGCAGATAATGTTTGCAGCCTTCAATCGGAACCACATGATCAACAAGGCATTTCGATCCTCTTTGTTTCGGTGATTTAGTCCTTCGATCGGCGGTCTGATGTCGTATGGCTCCGGGCTCTCTTGTTGTTGTGTTTCTTAATCCGATGCATGGGCTGCTTTTGGAATTTCGATTTAACTTTCCCTGTTCATGCGAGTGATGGTAAGGTGGCGAAGTCAAAGTGAACCGCCTCGGATACCCTGCGCGAGGTGTGCATCATGTAATCTTATTGAAAAACAGAAAAGTGGCGGAGTTGTGCCCTCGATTGTAAAGGCGTACACAGCACGGTTTCGTTACCCTAAAATACCGTCAATAAAGCTAAGTTGTGTTTGCCTATCACCTAACAACTGGCAAAATTTCAAATAACCTGAGACATAACTGGATAGAACAAGATTCGAAGTGAGAATTAGAGCTATGAGAGAAAACTTCACTTAAGAAACGTAGAAGGCAAAAGTTTATCAACTTGTGATAGTCACAGAGATGAGGAGTTATCACTTAAAAATCTATGCAGCAATATTGTAACATCCATTTATTTAAAGGCTGATGAAAAAAAAAACTTCACTTGATCGTAAAAGATGCATCAGGCAAGAAATGGGTCCACTTAAAAAATGAAGATGAGGAGGCAGAGAGGATGAAGGAAGAAATACCCTCTTCAAAAGTGCTCTCGCTGATGTGATCCACCTGAGGAAAATAACGTGAGTAAGGTACAAAGCACTGTAGTAATGACTGAGAGACCACAACTGAAAAACAACACTGTATAACGTTTAGGAAAGAGACAGTGAACTGCCTAACGGCGGACGAAGAAGAGCACTTATCTTTCAGTTTTTCGGCTGCTTCTGTGTTTCTATTCTTATTAACTAAAGTTGTTGTGAAATGTGGTTGCAGAATCCAGGGAAAACGAAAGTCAAAGTCAAGAAGAATAAGTTTTTAGGCCAAGGCAGAGAACACTTTCGTCAGAATCTCTTGTTCTTAACAGCGGAGCTACCACTGTAACCGTATAAATGTTATTTCTGTTATCCTGTGGCACAAATCTTCCAATCACCAACTTCTTTCACAATGGAAGACTTTATCAGTGTATTAATGGGAGCGACGTCGCTTTTAGGCTTGGCTAAAACTGACATTAAGCAACAAACTGAGCCTGTCCTTCCTCTATCAGTGGAAGACAGATGTATGGGAAAATGAGCCTCTTCGCGCAAGTTGCTCTTGAACGGGAAGAAGCTTTCATATCCGTCAATCAAAGAGCGTGTATATACCAATTCCTCGAAAAACTGACGTTGGCTTTCCAAAGAACAAAAGGTGAACGAATAAATGAATAAATAACTTAATTAACTAATAGATAATGATTTATAATATTTAACAAGATAATTGATACAAAGTGGTTGTTCGACTACCATTCCTGGTCGAACTGAAATTTGAAAATGTTGGTTTTAAGGAGAGTGGAAAACCGGAGTTACCCAGGGAAAAGCCTCTCAGAGCTAGGGAGAGAACCAACAACAAACCCAACCCACATATGGCATTGATGCCGGGATTTGAACCCGGGTCACTTTGTGGGGAGGCGAGTGCTCATCCACTGCGCCATCCTTGCTCCCCAAAGAGGCCTTACAGAGGAATCAGAGCATAGCTGGCAAAACAAGTATGGTATATAAACGCTGCTTCTGTTTGCTCAGCCATATCATTTTCATGATGACACGCCTAGAGAAAACCTGAGAGTGGCTTTCCAGTCTGATAGCAGGAGCAACAACTCTTGGACATATTCTTTCTTAAGTCTGTCCATGTAAGGTGTCAAGACCATGAAATGCGTTGCTGTGTCATTGACTC